ATTATTAACATCTGTAAATATTATCTAGCCATTTTCCCATTTTTGAAAGGCAGCATTAGGAAGAGCAATGCTACAGCTTAGGCTTGCTGTGAAACAAAAAAGTCTATATTTTCCTTGAAAATGGCATTTAATAATTGTTCTCTATTTTATAGAATTATAACATTCACAAGTGGCTGGAAGAAACCAACACTTTATAATTGATGTTTGATTGATAAATGATTTTTTTCCGTAAACATTTATGAGAGGAAGGAAGAAGGGTGGAGTAGTGGCAAACCATCAAGAGTACCACAATGAAACATGAAAAATTTGGAGCAGACCTAACATTGATCTGCTTTTTATTTACCAGACAACTTTATTCTAATTTTTTTGGAATAACAGGGAAAAAATCAAATCTGTTTTGCTACAGTGAAAAATCAGGCAACCCACAACTCTTACATAAGTCTTGGAATTATAACCTTTTTTTGGAGTTATAGAATCATTTAATAAAAACTATGACTTCTTGTCATATGTTAAAGTTCCCCCTGAAAAAACTGGCTGCTCTCTGTGTTTACCTAATCTATTTAACTATTCCTATGTTAATGCAATGCTATTTTATGACATGATTTTATACTAAATTTTAAAATCTTTTAAGGTCAGACCAGCCTCACTGTTTGCTTGCAGAACTGGGGTCGAATCCAGGGCCATAATACTGAGCTACATCCCCAGCCCTTTATTTTATTTTTGTTTTATTTAGAGACAGGTTTCCCTAAGTTGCTAACTTGTCCAGACTGGGTTTAAATTTTCAGTCTTCCAGCCTCAGCCTTCTAGAGTGCTGGGATTACAAAAATTCACCACCACACCTGTCTATCACTATTGTTTATTTTTAAAGCTTGATTTAATAGGAAATTGATGACTTTTAAATAAATCTACCTAGTAGGATGTGAATAATCATTTGGAAGAAAACAAAAATACTTCCATATGCTAAATGAAAGTATGAATTAATGATCTCCGTTATTAAAATAAAATTTTAAAAGTATTAGAATATATCTAGAGTTAGAGAATCCTAAGCAAGCCAGGAAAACCAGAGGCCAAAAGGAAAAGATAGACATATTCAACTACATAAAAATTAAAATTTTTGTCTTGGCAATATCAATTATAAACAGAATGAAATGATGATGGTATACTAGAAAAATATTTATCATAGATGACATGTGACAAAAAATCTCATTAACATAGAAATTATTAAGAAATACAGCTTGTTAGAAAAATGGGCAAAGGAAATGGAAATGTAGAGAATGACTTGAAAAAGATCAATGATTATATCATAATGATTTAAAAAACTGTCAATGAAGAGAATACAAATTCAAATAATGAGGCAAAATTTTAATTACCAGAATTTAAAACATATGCTAGTAACAATAAGAGATGATATTTATTGTAATTATTTTATCCTAAGAACTTTACGTAGATTATCTCATTTACTATACACAACAATGCTAATAAGTAGATTTCACAGCTCAGCTGGCACATGATAAAGCCAAGATTCAAGTCCATGCAATCTGATGCCTAGAGCCTGAGCTGTTTCAGTATGCTCAATGTGGATGAGAAAGCCAGGAGATGGGCACCCTCACACACTGCCAATGGCAAGTGATTCATGAAAACCTTAAAGAATGTAATGATAGCAAAAGCTTGTGCCTTCTGTAATCCCAGCTCCCTGCAAGGTTAAGGTAAGAAGATCACCGATTCGAAGCCAGCCTGGGCCACTTAGTGATACTCTCTCAAAATTTAAAAATAAATAAAAAGGACTGGGGTTATAGCTCAGTGCAAAGGCCCTGGTTTCAATCCCCAGTATTACAAACAAACAACTCATTCTTTGACAGCCCGATACAGTGGTGCACATTTGTAGTTCAGCACTTGGGAGGCTGAGGTGGGAAGGTCACTTGAACTTCAGAGTTCCAGGCCAGCCTGGGGAACACAGCAAGTTAGTGTCTCAAAAATCAAAACAAAACAAACAAGAAAAACCTCATTTCTTTTGGCCTGCCATCCTAGAAATAAGAAAACACACTAGTATCAGATTGTTATCTGTACTGACTACTTGGTAGAATTTACTTGTAAAACCATCTGCGGTTGGCAATAGTTTTGTTTGTTTTTTAAATTTTGTATAGTTTTATAGGAGTAATTTTAATTTTTATCAATAGCTAAAATTTTATTTTCAATTTATTTTGCTTCTTGAATTCATTTTGGTGAGTTATTTTTTTCCCCCTTGGAAATCACCTGGGCCATTACTAAGATTTGTGTCCCCGGTCCCAGTTCACATTTCTCTGTCTTACTAGTGATGCTAGTCCCGGGATTTGGAAACCACTTCCTTAGTTCTGATAATCCCAGCCCTAGGGGTGTGATTTTTCCTATATTTATTAACATCAATGTCCTCTCTTCACCCTTCATCACCCTGCCCCAGCACCTGCTTAACCAAGTCCATTTCTGTTCACCCTAAAGGACCCCAACTGATATATCACCCACATTGTCTGAATTTTCTAGTTTATTAGAATAAAGTCACTGAAGACAGTCCCTTATTAAAATCTCTGAAATATATGTTGTGTCCTTTTTAAAATTCCTAATGTATGAGCTTTTTATTTCTGTCTATCTCTAGTAGTTTTGCTATGTTTGATACTTTCATTTTTCACTTTTTATTCCCAATATAAGTAATTTAGAACTTAGATTTCTCATAGTTTATTGTTTTGGCTGTCTGTTTGAGTGTGTTTCCATTGTTTTTCAAGTCTATATACTTCCTAATTTCCATTATGAGTTTTTCAAGTCATGAATCATTTTAAAGTACTTTAAAATTTCTAAATTTATTATTTAAAATTGTCCTTATCATACTTTCTAAACTACTTGCATTGTGGTTAAATCAGTGTGAGAATCTCATTATGTTTCTAGTAGTGGTCAATTTTTATAAATATTTTACATGTACAAAATACTTCAGGGGCAAAGAACCGTATGTGTGTCTATTAAAGCAGGCTAATAGACAATTTCTAAATGTGGTATGTTAAAATCTCCCTCTATGGTGATGAAATTATCAGTTTGTAGTTTTTTATTTAAACTACTAGAATGCAAAGATATATATATTTATGATAATTATATATTACCAACATATATGCATATAAACTACAGCCAAGATACAGGGTTTCTGCCAAGAAACACTTTTAATGTTCATTGATAGTTATTAGGCTGAATTCATTGCAGGAAATAGTATGTAGCCATCAAAAAGCATGTTGTTGTTCTGTGCCGTCTAATCTAGAGGGAGAGGTCCATGTTAAGTGAACAAGGCAAGTTGTAGTGTGGGTATTGTGGTTCTATTTTTAGTAAACAAAACAAGAATCCCTTGATTTATGAACATGTTTCAATACATCTCAGCTTGAAAAAAGACTGTTAACATCAGTTCCTCCAGGGAAGCAACTGGAGTGGTTGAGAAAGATGGTTATGAAGACTATTTTTGTTTTACCTCCTATAATAACCATGTTTTATTTTGGCGGCTTAAGCTAGGTTGAGTCTGACACTGATGTGAGCAGCACTCACTTTAGAGGATCTAGTAGACGTGCCTTGTGGAAAAAAGCATAGTATCTTTTTACGACAGTGACAGGTACTGATGGATGTGAACATAGGAGATGTCTGGGAACACAAATTGATTACCAATCAATATAGCTTTATCTAAAGTGGATGGGTGTTTTTCACTGCTTTGTATTTTTTACATTCATTTTTCACAAACATATAGCAAGAAAAAATTTTTTTTAATTAGAGGATGTAACTACAAAAAGTCTATGTACTCTCTCGCCAAAAGCAGGGACAATAGCCCAGGCAAATCCGCGCCAACTCTTGCACCCAATTCTAGGCAGTTGATGGACCCTCTGAGAAGCCCTTTGATGGATGGCCTTAGTTTGGTTTCTGCTCCATTAGAAACATAGAGAGTTTATGGCAGAAGTATTAACTGACCTGCCAATTTCTCCCTCGTGTCCTCATAAGGCGAGGAACTGGCTCCAGAGTCATCTTGGCACTGAAAAATGGCAGGACTCATCTGTGATGACTTCAACCTCACTTGAGCACAGTGTGACTCCCCTATTCTTGCTGTTCCTGTTCACTGTGTGCTCTGGTCTGTGGAAGGGGCAAGGAGTGGGCTGCTGGCCTTGCTATCAAAGCTCCTAAGACACTCTCAAAAGAGGAGAAGATAGGGATATGGCAGTGTAAAGATATATCCATCATTATAATCTTTGACAGAGAAAGTTTTCACAGTACAAAGTCACCTGGCAGGAATGTGCCCAACAGAACTGAGCCCCACAGAAATGAGAGCAGTAGCTGGGATTGCACGAAATAATTCTCGTTTGAATCATGCTTAGGAGTGTGGACTTTTTTCCTGAAGGCAAACTGAGGAATTACGTAAAGGGCTCAAGTTTGGAAGTAACATGACTTGAGTGTTTTTAGTTATTAGTTTTGCTGGTTGGCAAAGAAGGAATTGGAGGGAAGCAAGACAGGCAGTTGGCATAGATGTTAGGAAGCTATGTTAGGAAGCTATGGCAGCAAATTCTATCAAGGTAATGGCTCTTGGGCAGTGGGTAGCAGTAGTAGAAGTGGGAATAAGTCTAAGGTTTTGGAGAAAGATATTCTAGAGGTAAAATAACACCTGGGCTTATTAATTTGGGTTGGGAAGGCCAAAGAGGCTCCAGGTAGAACCCTAGTTTTCTGCCTTAGGTAACTGAAGAGGATGGTACCACAGTGAGGTGGGGAATGCTGGAAGCAGCTCTGGAGTATTTGGAGGGGATGAAAATAGTGGAGATTAAATACAACTGTTTCTCTTTCTTTGACTCTAGGAGATTGACAGAAGGCCCAGGAATGCTCTCCAGGGTGCTCTTTCCCTTTGCTCTGCCCACCCTCTCATCAACGGGCAGGCAATGTTAAGTAGGAGAGAAAATGTTAGAAAAAGTTGTGTCAGCCTGAAGAAAGAATTTAATGACCAAACAAGATGCATATTAATAATTGATATATCTTTTTATTATGCACAGATAAAAGACTTAAAAGTGTGGTTATCAAGACTATACATCTAAGCATGTTCACAAAGTTGCTGACATACCAAACAAAGACTACAACAGGGGTGTTCAAACTGGCCACAGGGATTTTCGGGTTACTCTCTGTACCCTCATAGGTGATGAAAAACAGCAACAAAATCAGGCTCATTCAGGAAAAACCAGAAGAGAGAAGTATTGTATTTGGAAACTGATAATAGTGCTTTTTAGAAAAACATCTGTCAGTTTCATGAACAACCCCCAGATAAAACAGGAAAAAAAATCACATAAAGGACTCGCCCAACAAAATGTGTTCTGTTAACACAACCAGCAGTGCAGTCATCATTCAAACCATGAGGTAGTTGCAGTACAAAAGACAGGTGGGCGCACACACACCACACACACACTCAAAGTCACACCCGCCCAGAACACGCAGGAAATGAACTTACAATCTTATCACCAGACAAGGAAAAGACCATTTTGTGTTTAGAAAATGCCATAAAAACAGCTTACACAGAAGAAATTTCTGACTTTTTAAAATACAGCATAACAGCTGGTGAACCCTACACAGTGAAAAGCTAAAGGTGTCACACAGATAATCTGCAGTGGAGTTTAGAGCATTTCAACAATAGCATCAGTATCAACAAACAAAACAAAATGGGCTCTGTGGATTATGGGCATACTGCGGAAATAATATTAGACTTTGCTGATAGAATATAACAGTTTTAAACTTGCAGAACATGTTATAAAAGTAGAGCTTGTACTTTGTATTAAAACTGTAAAGGATGAAGCAATCAGAAGTGCTGTAAGAAGAAGCTAGGGAGAAATGCCCTATTCACTCTCCAATATGGGATTAGGTTTTATCAATATGAATTTCTCTATCTGAATAGTACTTCTGACAATGAGATTCAAAGAAATAAAAACTGATTTTTTTCTTTTCTCTTTTAAAAACCTTTTGGTTTGCATCTATAAATTTGTAAATTAATTTAAGATTACTTATAAAATCCTTGGCACTGTAGGAACTCTCTCAAAAATACACATTTAAATATATTACAGAAGTTTTTAACCCTATCCATCTAAGCAATGCATTGTTTAATTACCTCCCCATAGCTAATTTTCTTTTTAAAAGATGGAAAGGATTTTTTTAAGCAAAGAACTGATCAAAGAATTCACAGTAACTGAAATTAAACATTTCATATGGAGTAACTTAAATTTATCTAAAACACTTAAATATATCTTTATACACAAATTTTTGTAGTAAAATATAGCTATAAGTGACTTAAAGACTCTAGTCTTCTTTGAAGACATCTTTAAACTTTTTTATACATAGAATATGCTGAAACAATACATTCTGCTGAAGGTTAGGCAAAGCGCATTATTTTCAAACACAGGTAGCGTAACCTAGGCCCTCTGCTCTGAAATGATACCCTTATGTTAAAAAATTAAAGGAAAACATTTTTCTAGTCTTATGTTGTCCTCACATATATATGAAAATCATAAAAAATGTTCACTATATTAATGTAGATAGCCTGGAAATTTCAGCTGCTAAGTAGTCTGCTTTGGTTAAAATTATCCCATTTGAATGTCTACATCTATCCAGTCAATGACTATTCATGACTGGATACCAGTGACTGTCCATCTCCATCTCCTTGCCTTGTAGACACTGCCTTAAGGTTCTGAGTTTCATCCATATTTCTTATGTAAGGTTCCATTCACAGAGGACCCAGCACAACTGCCTTTTTTTTTTTTTTGGTACCGGGGATCGAACTCATGGCCTTGTGCTTGTGAGGCAGGTGCAGTGCCACTGAGCTAAATTCCCAGCCCCTCAACTGCTTTATTTTTTTGGTACCGGGGATCGAACTTGGGTCCTTGGGCTTGCAAGGCAGGCAGCAGAACCACTGAGCTAAATCCCCGGCCTTCAACTGCCTTTAAAGGCAGTGGAATTGGGTCATGAATATTTTAGGGCAGAATCTAACTTGTTCTATTGATGGAATACTAAGTTGTTAGAGGGGTATGGAAAAAGAATACTGTGTAATTTGCAATGTCAGCAGTAAATGATTTGGCATGGAAATTGTCCCTGGTATTTTTTGACATATGGGTATCACTGAGCATATTTTAGCTGCGATGTGGCATCATATTATTCCATTTAATGAAATTCATTTCAGATCTTTTTCAGTTTACATATTTAAAGGCAAGAGAACAAAAGCAAACAAAATGAGTGCACTTTTCCCTTGCTCAGCAGTGTCCTGGCAGAACTGGTGACATTATTCAGATAACCAACAAGAATCCAACAGGATCTGCCAGGTATTCATGTCTCCTAAGGGTTTGCTTTTCATACAAGGGCTTATTAGAAAGGTTGATGTGTATTGAATGGAAATGCTCATTCTACCAAATATTACTTAAATATAAATTCCAACTCTAGAAGCAGCAGATATTTTCAAAATGGAAATGGATGTTTTTTTCATGTTTTTTTTTAAAGATGAGCTCTTGTAGGTTGCCTAGGCTGGCCTGGAACTTGTGAACCTCTTGCCTGGGTAAGTAGCTGCTATTATAGGCAAGTGCCTCTGCACCTGGCTCAATTTCTTTCTTCTTCAACTGAGGAAATGAAGGTGCCAGATGACATATTATATACTTGTCCTTTCATACTCATATACATATATCACCTTACAAATTCCTCAACTTTACAACTGAATTTTGCCCCAATTTAGATATTAATTTATCAGAACAAAATGAATACAAATCTACAGTTCCAGACCTTGGCCATTTTCAATTTCTACATGCCTATAAGAAAGACAAAATTTGCATTAAGACATGTTTTTAGTCAGTGTGTGTTTGAGTGGGGGGAAGAAAATAAACTGACACATTAATCAGCACTGGTTTTGGCCCAGGGAACAAAAAAGGAATGTTGTCTTGACAGGTGACAGCAACCAGAGGCCACATATCAGATCTCACAAAGTGTGGCCAGTCAGGAGTGGGCATCCAGATAGGGTACAGAATTAGGCATTGAGGAGCACTGAGACAGCTTTGAAGCATTTCTTTTGTTTTATATCTTGATTCAAATGTAAAAGACTCTTTGCCCACATCTCATTGGGTCTACTGTTTAGCTATGACCCTTTGACCATTTCCTTGAGTGTAGATAAAACTCAGGGCCCCAAATCATTGATGTTATCCCCTAGATAAAGCAGCATTTTAAAAACCGGCATGTGTTTCACACTGAAAACCCCCTAGCCTGGGAGGGGCTGGTGGAGAAGGCCGCCATCTTAGCTTTTCCACATGAATTCTAGTGTGTTGCAGAGATGCAGGGATCACATTTCCATTGGCCATGAGTGGTGAATGTAACAGGTAATCTTTACACTGACAGTCGCTCGCTCTCTTTACAAGGGAAGCCAAATCAAGCCTTCAGAATCTGGACACATGGCATCAGCGTAAGGCCCTGCCCTTGGCAGTGGAGGCCGGGCTTGGGGTGGCTAGGCTGTGCTGCTGCTGGAGCAGGGCGTACTCTGTGTGCTTCCGATGCTGTGAGCTGCACTGCTGTTTTCTGAGGCCGGTGGAGAGGTGGGGACTTGTTGCCTTCCTGCTGTCTCTCCTGCAGTTAATTTTAAAAAAGAAGAAAACAAAATAGGTTTTATGTACACTGCAGCACAGAACATTACGTTTGCTTTGCCATATCTGATTCTTTTCACAACTGTGGATAGGAAGCATCTATCCCAGATCTCTGCCCACTGTTAAGGTTTTTCTGTTTATTGCTGTTTTGTTGTGAAAGCCTTGTGCATAGGGCAAGGAGGAGGGCAGTTACAGTAGCTAAAGGCTCTGACAGTTGATGACAAATTTTCTGGATTTTGGGGCCTACAAGTGCCCTCCTTTTTTTTCCCACAGTACTGGGGATTGAACCCAGGGCCTTCACACTGGGCTACATTCCAGGCAACCTCCCCCAATTTATTGTTTTGTTGTTGTTTTATGAGATAGCTTGCTAAATTGCTAAGTGGCCCAGGCTAGGCTCAAACTTGTGGTCCTCCTGCTTCACCCTCAAACTTTGAAGATACTTCCAACATCTGGACTGTGTGACCCAACCAACAGTGTTCAGAAAATACTATGCATCTTCTCTCATAAAGATACTGTAGAGTTTGGAGGGTCTCTTAGTTACTTTTCTCATTGCTGAGACAAAATACCAGACACCCAAAGTTAAATGAGGAAAGGTTTATTTTGGCTCACAGTTTGAAAAGGTTTCAGTTCACAGTTGGCTGGCTCCAAAGCAGAGTGGCGTGGCAGAGGGGCATCACAGAGGAGAAATACTTCATGGCCGGCAGAAGGCAGCAAAAGCAGCAAGTGATGACCCAGCCCTATTTCTGTCCCTTATAGTCTATCCAGGCTACACCCCTTTAGGGAGTGTATCACTCACACCCAGAGTGGGCCTTCCCATTATCCACTCCCAGAACTATGTCGTACCAATCCAGGAACTAATTTAGTAATCACATACCCTTAATCCTGGCACCACAGCCCTAATCCCAGCATCACACACTCTAGATCCAGCTATCCCTGAAAAAGCCCCACCTATGACCACATGAGGTTTTGGGTATATATCTAGATACAAACCATAAAAGGTGAGCATTTAAATTGTAATAGAACCTTGGCAGCTTGAGGACCTTTTTCATTTTTGTTTTAGTGCTAAGGCTCCAACCCAGGGCCTTGGGCATGGTAAACAGGCACTCTGCCAGAAACTACACCCCCAACCCCCAGGGCCTTTTTCCAAATGGTTTGTTTAAAACTGGGCTGGTAAAGTCTGTATGTGGCCCTAGCTACAACACAGAACCTCATGTACCAAACATACAACCTACTTGAAGAACAGGGACTAGGAAAGGGCTGCTATGGGAAAAGCCTTTTGGGAAAGGGGTTTAGCTTAGCCCCTGGAGACTGCAGGGCCTGCTAGCAAGCACCGGCCTTTCACACTGAAGTTCACTACTGAATGCAACGTATCTCCTAACATTAAGCGTCCCACTTTTCATTACACACCCCACTGCATTTCAGCTAAACCCATTCTTTGTGCCAAATGTGCAGTGCTGCGGAGAGGGAGGAAACCTCAGGTCACACACATGGTTTGCATTTAGCAGTGCAAAAGGCCATGGGGTTAGTCCTCTGCAGCAAAACTGGCCTCAGTGCAACCCTCGAAAAAGGGCTCTAGGTAGGGAAATGTGACCAGGTCTCTCCAGTGAAAAACACTGCATTTTCTTTGAAAACTCAGAGCATAAATTTCTTATAAGCAGTGTCCCCCCTCCAATGTAGGAAGCCCCAAAGGACCACGTTTGTTTATAAATGAGCCTCCTCTTTCCTGTCATGCTGAAATGCACATCTATCAGCCAGAGATAAGCAGCCCTCCTTTCTGTTTCATTAAAACAAAAAACACAAGCAGAGTTTCTGCCCTCAAGTATAGGAACTTGAGCCTGTTACTTCCATTCCTTTTCAGGGGGCCCCTCAAAAGCTTCTGCCAAAAGAGCAGTTCTGTAAAATGTAGAAGCAGCTTGTGCCCCTGGGTCTGGTTACAGCTTTCTCCATCACCCCTTTTGTGAACCACAGCTCCACACACTTTTATATCAATTTTAGAGCATTTATATGCTTATTGTATATTTGGCCCTTGTGTTTCCTCTAATTATCTTTGCTTCTGGGATTGGTGGGATGGAGAGAGAAAGGGGTCAATGTTCCTGAGAAGCAGAGAAACACTATTTTTATGCTTCTTTTTGGAGATCTACATTTTGGTCCTTCCCCTACTCTTCATGTGTATATGTAATTAAGCATGAGACAGCTACCTCAATGGCAGTAACTTTCTGCCAAAAACTTACCTTCCCCAGAGTGGAAGCTTATTTCTAGAAGGGGATCAAACATGGGGCCTCACACATACTCTACTACTGACAAATACTCCCAAACCCCTAACACATACACACACCAAAGATCTTAACAACTCTTAATATATCTTTTAAAAATTCAGCCCCTTTACAACTCACATCTTGATCCACACTCAGCTGGACCCTCATGTAATCAATTAAAAGGACTAATGTGGCTATACATGAACCACATTTTAAAAATATATTTTCCCACTTAAATAAAGGACTCATCAGAAAAATCAAAAGTAAGCCACTCCTTCCCTTTTGGTTTGGCTGGGCTTCATCTGCCCAGCCTGACAGTACCTAAGCAGGATGGCTCGCCTCCTCCAGTGTCAGGGGGCAAGTCTCTCTCCAGAACATGACATATACTGGCGTCACACCCAGGAAAAGTGCCAGAACCATGCCCTGCCCAGGAAGTCTGAATATTTGCTTTCCAATGTCTATTTGCTAAATATAATTTGTTGCTACATCATTTTAATATAATCAGTGCCCATTAAAAAGAGATCTTTGGACTTACAGAGTTTTGGAAACCGTTGGTCATGGTAATGAAACACACTACTTAAAAGTAAACCCCCAAACAAAACAAAACAAAAATCCCTACACTTAACACAGCAGGATGTTTCACCCAGGTGGACAAGTCACATTAGCCTAATATTCTATTGACTTTGACCCAATAATGTCAAGGACAGTCTGGAAATGCTGAAATCCCTTCAGTATAGACTATCCCCTCCACCTCTGTGGCTATTTTCACGTATAAAACGCAAGATTTTTCAGTATTTCCAAATTTAAAAAAACCTCTTACTTTTTGGACAAATTAAGAAAAGGATTTTTCGCTGTCAGATGGAAGCACTACAGAAATGCTCATCACGAAGAAGCACGTTTAAATAGGTTAGTGCTTCTGCATGCAAAGCCAACAGAGTTCCTTGGGTTTCTGAAATGGGTCCTTTGGCTTTCTGGTCTTCATCACAGTGGTCTGGGCTTCTTGGAGCACCACTTTTCTCTAAAATACTCCTTGGGCAACAAACCCAGGCCACTTCTGGAGGAGATGAGCAGGGGGTACTTTGTGACTAAGCAGAGTAGGCCCAGTTAACAAATGGAAGAAGTTCAAGGGAGGCTCCTTCCTGATAAATATCAAACTCAGCCAGCAGAGACAATGCATTCAGTCTCACTTTGTTCCTCAAATCTCAAAACACCTTGATGGAAGAAAGATTTAGGGAGGAGGGAAAGTGAGCAGGGAAGAGGCATTTGTACTGGAATACTCCAGAGGGGGAGGGGGAGGGGGGAGGGTGTGCTAAAGATGACAACACCAGGGATTAATCACCCACCTCACTTAGCCTGTGGCTGAGTCCAGATGGTGCCAGAGATGTTTTAAGAAACAGAAAAATATATTTCTTAATGGAAAATCTGTTTTATTTCTTTAGCCTGGGATAGTACTGCCCAGATCTGAATTTCTGCCACCTCTTAGTTATCTACTTTAAACTGGGTTTTTATCTCTTAAAACTTTCACAATGGCAGGTTGTAGGGAAGAAACTAACTATGCAAAATTTAAGGAACATGCAAAGGCTCCTTGGGAAACAACAATGGGGTGGGGGAGACAATAAAAATGCAAAAGACAAATGAGAAGAATCTTGACTAATCCAAAGGAGTCTGTTTGCAAATACTTCCCATGAGGATTATTACAAAGAGGATCAGACAGCTGTTTTTCTTCTCTCTGGAGGGCAGAGCATAAGAAAATGTGTTTAAATGGCAGGGACAGAGATATAAGTGAGATGGAAAAGAACTTGCTGGTTATGAGGATTGGTTAAAGAGGAAATTTATGAAATTTTTTATTTTTGGAGATATTTACACACAGGATTGAAACCCATATGCCTTGGGGTGATTTTGATTTTATATTCCTTGATGCCAGAAAAAAAAAAGATATATTGTAGTAAGTCTATGTGTTGGTTGCAGTTTTGTACCAATTAACATGGGTTTCTTGATATCCTAACTCCCATAAGGACAGTGAACTAAACTATCTTCAGTTTAGTGATGTCTTTAGTCACTTTTTATCATTTCCAATAATGGTTCCTCTCCCCTCTCTAAGCTAAAAGAACCTTGTTTTGAAGTCAAAACTCTCCAGGAGGAGTAGGTAAGATGTTGTGATAAATTCTGGGCCAAGGAATAATAATCTTTCAAGGTGGGAATTAAAGTCTTTCAAAATGTTCTGCCCCCTGTTTCCTTTCTGTAGTCCTGCAGTATGGCAACCTGTTTACCTGCCTTTGGTTTTCTGTGTCTTACTTTAGCTTGCCTCTGTGACCCCTAAATACAATGCACTTAAACTCTGACAATAAGAATGCGAGAAGAGGAAGAGGGAACGCGAAGATTAGGTGGAGGAGAAAGGTCATCCTTCATACGTATATTTGTACCTCTAGGTGTGGGCTATTGTCATAAACTGGACTTGAAGCTTCAGTGATGGCGAACCTTTTAGAGCTTTCAATGATATAAACAGCCCACTGCAGCATGCATGCCATAGTTTCACCGCCACTGTTTGTCCAACTGCTGAGCTAGGTGTACTTATGGTATTTCCTGGGTCAGGTGTATTAACCAAATTTCCCTTCAGTAAACAGGAGAAGATTCTACTTCACAGGGTTCTTAAGAGTGAGATGCTTAAATAAGAAATGCATATGAAGAGCTTTTTGAATTTCAAGGTCCTATAAAAATGTAAGCTATTTAAGCCTGCTCAGTTGTGTGAGCAGAAAAAAATTAAGAGTGGATGAAACACTGTGCTTCAAGGAGCAAAATAAAATGTGGAGGTTTTGAATTAAGTATGCCTGTCCTAATCCCTCAAAATTTGTATTCAACAAGCCTTCATTGAACACGCTATACTCCACGTAGAAGGCAAGCACATACCTAAAGTAAATGCTTTTAATTAGGAGCATCCCAGGAGTCTCCAATGTTTTCAGAGGTCTAAGGTCTCACCAAGTTTCCAGCCTAGCCCTGGTGAAAAGAGAAAGAGCATGAAGCTGGGCTAAGGTATGACTGTGGTAGACGGAAGAGAGGAAGAAGGATGAGCTGGACCAGATGGAAACTTCTGTGACTGTGAAGAAGGCAGGACTTGCTCACTTTTCACTCAAATACTATCTTTCTTTTATAGGACAGTTAAACACGTAGTTAAGAGCTCTCAGCCTTCCTGGGTCTATCCTCCCTGAGCTTCTGGACATGCATATCCTTCCCCTTGCTTCTCAGCCTCCCCTCAGGCACTGTGGGATTTTTACAAGAAACTTCATTCTTTAAAAAAACAACAACAACAAAAAACACCACTTTCTCCTGCTCCAGTGAGAATTATCTTGCCAGTTCTCCACCCTTCTGACAAAATTCACTGAATTGTTGCTTTCCTAATAGTTGACATATGTGCCCCACATTTGGGTTTCTACTTGAATCACTGTTTACTGCCCATTTGGTTATTCTCTTCCTCCCAGTATCTGTGAGCTCAAAAGTGCAAGGCCTCTGTTGTTCACTACCATGCTACCAGTGTCAAGAAGAGTGTTTGGCACTTAATAACTCCTCCAAAAAAATCAGTGAATGAATACTGGAGAGAACAAACAAAAAATTTAGCAAATACTAAACAGAGGCACACACAAAAAAATCAAATACAATGGTATTTCAGTTTACAAACTTAATTTGTTTTATGATTTTGGAGAGATGGCTGTGTTTGTGCGGAGAAGAGGGCTATGGTCATGTTTGTCATCTGATACGGAGTTTGCAAACAAAAGCAAAATTTTGCTGGATGCCTTTGTTTGAAAACCAAATTGTTTGCAAACAGACACATTCGTGAACTGAGGTACTACTGTACATGTTAAGCTAAAGATTTATTATCTGACAAGCAAAAAGAAGATAAAAATATTACAGCTACATGGCCTTTGAATTTGTGACACAGGACAGGGAGAGAAGAGTGGACTCTACATGGAGAAAATACGGTCCCAGTCCTGATGCTATAGCTATGGCTCCCAGTAGTCCCATCAGTTCCCTGGGCCTGTTTCTAACCATGTGAAAAAGAAACAGACCAGTAACTTCCCAAGGACCTTGGTTAAGTCACTGATAAAAAGTTAAGGGCAAGACTTAGTATAGAGACAGTGCTTTACATGCACACACGGACTTGCATTCCCTCCCTAAATCTCACCAGAATAACAGTAAATGGATTTGCAAAAGGCACAGACCCACACAACCAAAGATATTAGAAGTGAGGATAATAGCAATAAAATACTTGAAGCTGGTGAGGAAATGGGTGAATGGTAACTGACCTAGCAGACTCATGAGAGTCAAAACCCAAGCCAACAGTGGGAAGAATTGAGAAACAAGCAATTTACATCGCAGAGTCCCCCAAAAGTCAGGAAATGGTGACATCAGGAACCTCTGGAAGAGAGAGTAAATATAGTGCTAAAAGCAGCTGAGCTGGCTAAGTGCCTACGTAAGAAGCAGGAAGATTTCTCAAAACCTTTTCCCTCTTTTCACTGTGCTGGGACCCTCATCCAGGAGGAATACAGAAGTTTACTTTTTGAAGAGGGTAAGACCCAGAGTTTCGATAATGACCAGCACTAGGCTGGTCAGGGTTTCAATAATGACCAGCACCAGGCTTCTCAGAGGGGAAGAGAACCATACTCACAAGGGGGCATTAGGTAAATATCTACTGTGTTTGGCTCCACTGGGCTTCATTTACTCAGCCTGACAGCAGCTAAAGCAGGATGGCTTTGTCTCTAGTGGCAGTGAACAAATCTGTCTCCTCCAGAACACATTTTGTACTTGATTATTCACATTCAGTACAGGCGCCAATATCATGCTGCACCCAGGAAGTCTGAATATTTGCTTTCTGGTATCTACTTGCCAAGTATAATTTGTTGCCATGCAAGTTTACTTTAATCAATGCCCATTAAAAAGGTCTCCCAATAGCCAGACCTACACCTTCCAGGTAGGATGCAGAAAGGCTTGTTCTATGAAAACTCTGATAAGCTAAAGAGGAAAGTTCCAAGGAAATGACATTAGGGGCTCAACAACAGAAACAGGGGCCCTGTCAGACACCCTAGGGAAATTCACAGTCCTATCTACAAGCTCAGAACCCCCTCATTCTTAATTGCATGTTTAGGAAGATCCTCAGATAAGATACTGCACCTAAGAAGCAAGAACAGGACTTTTTTTTTTTTTGTACCAGGGATCGAACTCGGGTCCTTGCGCTTGCGAGGCAGGCACTGGAACCACTGAGCTAAATCCTCGGCCCCTGGACATTTTTATAAGAAAAGAAATTCACTGGAAAAAAATATTCTAGGAATTTAAAATTTTCAAAATAGTATTAAAATCTCCACAGATAACTGAAAGGTAAAGATGAAGAAATTTCCCATAAGGTAAAGAATGCATAAAGATGGAATATAGAAAAGAAAGGAAAATCAGAAGACCAGTCAAGTTCCACTTTCAAGTAAAATGATTTCTAGAATGAGAGAATACAGAAAATGGGAATGAGAAAAAGAATAAATTCTAAAATATCTCAGCACTGAAGGACATGAGTTTCTAGATGGGAAGGGAAGCATGATGTATGAAAGTACATTTAAGTCAAGAGTTATTACTGTAAAATGTCTTCCAGAAAGAAGAAAACAGGTCACAGATAAAGGGGATCAGCTTTGAACTTCCCACCAGCAATCCCCCGAGCTAGAAGACAATGAGGATTGCTTTTAAAATTCTGAAGGAAAATTATTTATAGTCAGGCACTCTATACCTTGCCAGACTATCTGCAAAGTATTTCTGTAACATGAGAGTATTTTCAGACAGGCCAGATGTAAAAAATATTTCCTAAGTTTTAAACCAAGAAGGAGGAAGGCATGGGGTACAGGACACAGGACACCTGCAACTCAAAAGTGAAGAGAACCCCTAGAATAATGATGGAAAAGAAGACAGAGGCCAAGAGTGTCCAGACTTAGAGTGTACTAGTTCAGACAGAAGCAGGTTAGGGAAGCCTCCAGGAAAGGGTCGCTAAAGAAAAGGAATCAATCAGTAACAATACCCAATAGGTCTGAATATATTAAGAGGAAATTAAAACAACTAGTAGAGTCAGCAGATAAATTAATGATAAATATATAGAAAACTAACTGGGGGGGGAGAGAGCAGAGAAGGACTATTAATTCCAGGAAAAATTAAAAGACACATAGATATAATGTTACTTTACCTGGTTAAATTGTGATTAGCCTTTAGGTAATCATAATAATATAAATAGTAAATATGAATCTTAATCAAAATTTCAGTATAATTCTACTAGGACAGTATGGGAAGGGGAGCAAGAAGGGAATGAATGCATGATTAGGGCACAGAGGTGAAAGAGAGGTAAACCTTCACTTCCCTTAGGAGGGGGTCAACGGAAAAGGTCTCAAACCGAAAAATCAAGACATAGCAATATTTTCATGTTTTTTAGAGATATAAATTAACAGCCAAAAGAATCAGCTAAGAGTAAAAAAGACGGTGCTCCAGGGAGGGAGAAAGAGAAGGGGAAGAGGCAGGCAGGTGGGATCTGAGGTTTTTCATAACAAATCTCAAAGAACTATTTCAGCCTCTCAACTATGTGCATGTACTATTTTGATGAAGCTAAAAAGCTTTTCTAAAAAAATAAGAGCTTTTGTCCTTAATGAGACAACAGATACAATTTTGCACTGGACTTTAGGGACTTTCATGGACTATGGGTTAGGGATCCTCTAAACTAGCAAGGCTCCCCAGAACCATAAAGCTTCTATGGCTCCAGGCCAGCAACATTCTATTCCCAACCACCCTTTCTCTCTGAACCATCTCGGGAAAGACATAAGTTTTAGGAATGAAGTTTTCCAGACAGAATTAATATTGCCTTACAGAGGTATCTCTTATTGTGCTCAGAGTTTGTATTATAAAGTTGGGCCCCCACCTTTTTAGACCAACACAAATTCTGGGTATGTAAGTGGATAGTCACAATCTGAATATGTAACCTGGAGGTGTGCTGTGTGCTGCAGACAGTGGAAAACATGACCAAAGGGAAAGCCATCCCAATGAAGGCCTGCTCTTTACACACAGGCAGACGCTGCCTGGACCCCCAAATATACCATATAAGGCCTGAGTTCCATGACTTAGCTTACTGTGGAAACTGAATGGACTGAGTCAGTTTTTGAGTTCTCATTCTCATCACTCCCCTTGGCCACTGCATGAAGACCTTCTCTATTCATCTAAACTTGTTGCCAGCTGACCCAGGTAAGAAACTGGGGGGTTCCAGAAAGAAACTATCATTTGGTTCTGAAATAAGCCTTCTTCATTCTTGTATGACCTTGGTACTTCTGATGAGCAGTCTGTAAAATGAACCAGAGCCTACAGCTTTGAATAAAACATAATTTTAAAGCCACAAGTGATACCAACAGATTTTAAGCCCAAATGATAGCATCTATAAACTTTTTACTTTATGAACTGGCATATTTTTCTAGAAAGCATCATTGGATGGGTTTTGGCTTTTCTTTAATCTATTTATAAACCTATTTCTGCAATAACAATACTAAAACTCCTTCTGAAGCCTCTAGGTAGAGGAGAAGGGGGGTCAGTAACAATGACTCTCTAAACTCAGCAAGCAGCAACAATAAACCAAGGCAACAAACCAAGATTTGCTTTTTATCAGGTTTATGTGCTTGGCTAGCGTAAGAGTCTAGGGTCTTGGAGGGGGTGGGGGTTCAGTGGAGTGTGTTCCCACAGTGGGTGGCATTTGGTTGCCCTGTACTCTGCCTAGACCCAAGATCGGCTGTGACTGAGGCCGGTGAGTGGCTGGACAGACACATGGAAAGCTTCTGTGGGGTGACTGCCCTCATATAAAGTCCTTGGGGCTACTCAGTCTTCTTGGAGTACTTTCAAGTTCATTCTTAACAGACAACAGAGGCTGCCAACAACCCTAGAACCTCTCAGCCACACAGGGGGTTGGAAAAGGTTTTGAAGAGCTGTTAGTTTGAGATCTGAACATGTCAGTATTTCTGAGATTAAAATTACTTACACTATAAATTCTACTCTGCTAAAAGCTGTCCCTTCTGGTCCTTCGATAAACCTGCTCATGAGGAAGCATACTCCTAAACTGATTCACAGGCGTTTATATAATACTGAGACTCATTACACTTAAGAGTCTTATTTTCTCTCATATGAAACATACTTCAAAGGTTGCCTAATAGGAACAACAATCTGAGGACTCAGAGCTCCACTATTAAACTCTGCTAAACTTTTACCAAGATGTTAGCTTTGAATTGGATGAATTTCCTATGCCAGACACAAAAGTTTGCTCCTCTTTTTCTGTCATAGGTACTTTAGCCATGGGGTACAGTATTAGAAGTAAAAATTCACGGAAAAGAGCCTGAGATTTTTCACTAATAAAGGATGTCTGGATCATGTGTCTTTTTCTCTCTCTCTTAACAATTTGAGGTTTTGTCTAGCAATCAAAGGAATTAAGATATCACACCCAAAGATGTCTGTCAGTGGCTCTCTTGCCTTTAAACTAGTCATCCTTTCACCTGGGCTAGTTAAACAGCTCAAGGTGAAGCAAAAGATCATAGCATTTATTGGTTCAATGAAGAATGAGTGAAGTTCTAAACACAGGCTAGACCTGCTCCTTACTTCTCCCTGATCAATCTACCAGTTTGCCCAGGTTCGCAGTGTACACTGCAAGTATTCATGAACAAACAGAGCCAGCTAGTTCTCTAGACTCAAAATGCTCGCTCTTCTTACCCATGTTGGCAGAGATATTAAGAAGGAAGCAACAGAAGGCAATAGTCCACAGGTTCCTTCCTCACCAAACCACCCCCGCCCCCACTGATCCTGTGTCAGAACAGGCTCTCAGCTCTGGCCCATGTGTTTCAACCTTGGAACTTTCTGGGGTCGGGGAGGGAGGGTGTGAGGGCACATCACAATTTTAGGGGTTGGGGGAATACAGCTTAAAAAACAAAATGCTTTGTTGCAAGTTTTATTTTTCTTCAATTCACGAAAATATATTTTGAAATTTTAAATAGCTTCGTAGAAAGATACAAGAGTTTTACATTTATCAAAGGGTTGAGAAATTCTGGTTTAAGTCACTGATTAGGAACTCTGATGGACAGTGCTCAACCCTGTGCAGATGTGGTACTATACTCTGGGCTTCCTTTTTCACTTTCTATACATTTCTGTCTATTCTGAAGTCTTTAGCTTTGAATACATAGCTTATATTTCCAGTTATCTACATTAATTTTCTTTACACTTTAATGACAAAAAAGCTTCATTAGAAGCCAAATGTCACCACCATCACAACTGCAATGAACGTAGTTTTTATGTTTCTTTTCTACCACTGCTTAAAGCAAATTCCACTTTTACAAAATGTAATTTATGCCAAGCACATAAATGTGAAAATAGTGGGAATGAACTTTCTCTCTCTCTCTCTCACTCATTCATCCAACAAAACCTCGAGTGTCTGTTGTGTGGCAAGCACACAGGACATGCACCAAACAACAATGAACAGTCACACTGACCTGTGTGGGAATAGATGTACCACAAGGCTCCTGTCAAGAGTGCTCCGATCACAAATGCTGCAAATGCAATGCCCATCACAGTCAGGGTGTCCAGACCATGGAAAATTGCTATAAAAGAGGGAAACCAATACATATACCCTAAGTTAGTCTGCATCATACATAGCAATTTTATATTTATTTTACAAGCACTGTTACAAAAGCTGAGGACTGGCTCATAAAAACTGAGACTATAATAAGAGTCCCAATAAAATGCCCTGCATTTTGTTACTCGCAAATTTTGGGTCAAAGGAAAAATTATCAGGTTTCCAAATATTCTTAGTTTGCAACTTATTTTGAACAACAAAGTAATTTTAAAAATCAGATCTGCAAATTCTGTAAAACCTTAAACCTGTGGTCTCAGTGTCCCAATGTGAGGACCTACTATTTGAATGGAGGGTACCCTGCAAATCCACAGGATAAGATGTTTTGGAAGATGGAGCGAATTTCCATTGTCCAAATTTGATTGCTTTTTCATTGAAAGCTTCCAACAATGAAACATATGGCACAGAAAATATATACAATATATACACTATTTTTCTTAAAGGGAGTGAAAAGAAGACATAAGAGTAAGAACAAATTATTCCTGTGCATTGTAACATTTTACTGATTAAACCCTCAATCTTAATAACTATGTAGCAAAAACTTTTTAACACTTTCCCAACTGTGATCTATGAGTGGAACAGAAATCACTTCTCAGTGGACAGTGACATCAGTTTTGTGGTCAGCAAAACATATAAATAGAATCAACTGTTCATCCATTTGGCAAAGATTTTTATATGTGAAATTAATTCCAGACCACAGAAATAGGATATTTCCTTTCATTTAAGAGAACTATCTTTGAGTAACTTATAAAAAGTTGAAATCAGTTTCTAAGGGAGACAGAGTTTTGGTGGAATAAAAATTTGAAGTTCTCTTTTAATATAAACTGAAGGTGTAAGATCTCCCCACTATTTAAATACTACCTGTACTTTCCACTCCAGTCAGAATCAACTCCAGATGATCTCTATATAAATCAAATCTTTTTGCTTTTCAGTTCATATCAATCTAAAAAGTTCAGTTGTAGACAAACATGACCCTTAAGCAGCCCCAGCACTCCAAAAGGCTTGAGGAAAGTATGTCACGGTAGAAAAAGGAATGATCCAAACTCCCATTTCTGGACACCACTCTTCTTCCCCTGTGCCCTTTGTTTTGTTCATTTAAATTCTAAAAAGCAAGATAACTTTACCTACTGGAGGCACAAAGTATACAAAATAAGATATTAAAATGGATCAGGATCCCCTAGAAGGAATAAGAACTGGGTAGAGATCTATGGAGGTTACTATGAACCAAGCCATCAACCCATTTAATCCAGTCACTAAGGCAGATATTAAAAGACAATTGACTTTTTATGCCTACAGATGTAAAGATGAAATATGATTACAATTTTTTAGTGAAAACATTTTAAAATTGCAAAGATGGAAATGTCATAAAAAATCAGATTAGATATGAAAGAATGTGTATCACATGGGTCTCTCTTTCTGAGATTATCATACTGTTTCACTCTTTTATTAAAATAATCCACTTGAGGGAATAGTATATAAGCAGCTTGATATAAAGGCACTCTCCAGACTGATTTTTACATGTATGTAATGGGGTCAGCCCTGCAGACTCATCTTGGGAATCTCAGAGAAGGAAAAGAAAAAACACAGATTCTCCTAACAAGGTCAAATTAGAAGAACTCTGGGTGAGCAGCCAGAAAGCCAGGGTGGAATCCTGACTCATGCCCATGACAACCACGGGCAACTCACTAAAATATTTCTGAACAGTTTGTTCTGTACAAAACGATGAAATTGTGTACAGAATTTTCAACTCATTCTGTAGTAACCGGTATTGTGCTGTATTATCATCATCATTATTATTTTTTGCAGACCCTCTCTGAAAAACCAAAAAACAGAAAAACAAACAATAGACTCCTTGGACTAGAGATGCTTTTGAATAAAATGCAACTAGTTCCCTTAGGACTACTTCACTGAGTAGATAAGTACCGCTGCCACCACTTAAAGTAAGCCACTGGCACAACTGCATGTTAACGCTTTTGGATCACAACAGATACAAGCATGCAAATAACAAACTAATCTCTCTAAGGCTTAGTTTACCATGTTTCCATTTGTGCCACATGTGGCAATGAATTAAGAAATTAATATTTTAAAATGCCAAATATGGAGAGAAAAAACAAAGAGGAGGATGAAGAAAGGACAGAGGAAAGGAGAAAAGAAAACTGAAAAAAAGAAGGAAAGAGGAGAAGAGAATGAGAGCAGAAGTCTCCTTATCAAAACTCAGTCTGCCAAATGTTCACTAACCAACTCATTCTTATAAAAGCCCAGGAGGCTTTATTTTGAAAGAGTTGCATAAAGACTTACGTGGAGGAACTGGATTTGATTCCTTCATGCTTGGAACTTTTTCTGAAACAAAAGCATAAATCATAATGTGTTCTATGAGAAAACCAAGATTTAAGCAAAGGGTCATTAAAATTTCAGCAGAAGTCACCATTTTGTATTTGTTAATAAATACATATCAGAGTTTGTTAATAAATTTGTGAAGGCACAGTCAATGATCCTCTTTAGAAGTCAAAACTGTAATGTGAGTTACCCAGAAATTTTAGGCACTACTTTGTTAATGATTAATTCTAGAGGCTTTCCAATTTGAAGAAAATTTGATGGCAAGCACCTTAACTTAGGGAATTTGAGTCTGTGTATGTTTCTTTACATTTACTTACAAAGGGACTTAATACCTTTAATATTGTGCTTCTCTGATGTACTCACAATATTATTCTACTTTTAAAATATTCTGTTAAGAATTTACACATTTCATATCTTTACTCTTCTGTCCTTTGAATGCTACTGTCCTACAGCTCAGCTCTTTTTCATTACTCATCTTCATTACCAAAGGTCTCCACCACTACCAGCCCCTCTCCTTCCTCCTTCACATCAGCCCCTGGAGTGAATTTTCTAGAGTCCAGAGATGATCATGTATTGCTCTGATTAAGCCACTTAACGACTTCTCTTTGTTTACAGGGAAAAATCCAAACTGTTCAGCATCAGATACAAAGCATTCATTACCTGCTTTCCTGAGGGTGACCTTTACCCATGCTGGGCTCCTCAAACTTACGTAAGCTCCCCAAGATGCCCATAATGCTCCACATCATCACCCCTTCTTCCCTGAGACCTGCTTTGTTGGCACGTTTGCTGGGAGCCCTTCCAGCTCCAGCCACCCCCGGCAGGGCTGGTCTCTCCCACCCGGGTCATTTCACCCCTCTTCTGCTACATTTGTGTCACATCATATACTAATTTGCGGGGGGCGGGGGGGGGCTTGCTGGGCAAGGTCTAGTTCTTACTCATCTATGTGTTTTTGTAAAAGGAGGAAACAAGACTATTAAAATGCTTGTATGCCTCAATATTTCTAGAATGCTTCATGTTGATAAAGTGCTACCCAGCCAAGATTTCATTTGGGGTCCACCTCAGTGTTGTGAGGGAGGCAGAGAAAGAATTTTTATCACTATTTTACAAAACAAGCAGCCTGAGACTCTGATATCCTGTGACTAGCCCAAGGTCACAGCTGGAAAACATCAGGGCAGGGGTTGAACCAGAATTCCAGACTCCTGCCTCCCAGGCTGAGTGACTGAGAGTGTCATTCTGTCCTTAGCCAGGGAGCACTGACTGAGTTACTGCTTGTGCATAGCCTCACGATCCTTAACTGTGAACGAGGCACAGACCAGGGTCCAGGACAATATGGTCAATGAGCTAAGAACAGGTTTTATATTTTAAAATAATTTCTTAAAAATCAAAAGACTTTTTTCTTTTTTTTTTGGTACTGGGGATTGAACTTGGGACCTTGTGCTTGCGAGGCAGGCACCGGAACCACTGAGCTAAATCCCCGGCCCAAAAGACTTTTTTTTTTGAGACAGGGTCTTACTCTATAATTCAGGCTGCCCTTAAACTTATCACTATGTAGCCCTGGTTAGCATCTAACTCATGGCAATCCTCCTGCCTCAGCCTCCTGAGTGCTGAGATCACAGGCGTGTGCCACCAGGCCTGGCCCAAGAAGACTATTGCTTAACATACATGAAAGTTTGTATGAAATTCAAATTCAATGCAAAATGAAGTTCAATATGGTCATAGCCACAATGAACATATTGTCTATGGCTTTCATTCTACAACAGCAAAACTGAGCAGTCAAGAGAGGAACTACTGTATGTGTTGCAAATGAAAAATATTCTCTCTCCAGCCCTTTCTAGAAAAAGCACCCTTCTGTTCAGAGTTTAAAAGTAGTATGTGTTTAGTGCCTCTCTCTCTCTTCTCCACTTGCATTCCCTAAAGAAGGAACACACACCTTATGCTGAAATCTATGGTGAAGCAAAAAGAACTTGTGAAAATTTGACCAAAGAACCAGCATGTTGATGTTTATAAAAAATAAAGAAGGTCAACAGGGTAAAAGGAGAGAGGATTGTTTGCAAAACACATACTCCCTCCACTAACCACAAAATAAAACTCTTCTGGGAGTTTGGTCCCATCAGCCTTACTGGGAGCAGTAATAATGGTGACTCCTTACATTTTTACATTTGCATGGTGTCTTACCAATTGACAAAAACCCTTCACTTAATATTCTCATTGTAAACTCCCCAAGTCCTAAGAAGTAGGGGTATCTAACCACAAAATTCACCCGCTTTCAAGAAATAGTAGTTTGATTCACTGAACTAAGTCCAAAGGCATTTAAAGGTCTCAGTAGTGTGCATCATGAGAGAAGTATACACACTTCTGGGAAGAGTTCCATCCAATCGACCGCTTGTGGTTAAACTCTGTCACTCAGAATCCCCAAGTGGTTTAAAAATGATGATTCTTCCCTAAGGAGACTTCATATGTGAGAATTTAACGGCTGTGTGATGGATGGCACTGTTTTAAAATTCTTAATGGACTTATGATCTAATCTTCTCTCCCCACCCCGAACAGGGGCCTTCTCAGAGAGCTAAACAGAGCAGTTGTTTCTCCCGGGTGAAGTTTCTTCATGACTGTGCACAAACAGTAACAAGCACAGGCTCCAGAGCTAAAGTTAAAATTTTATCCTCTAACGTTTTTGTCCCCAGATCCCCTAAGCCCTAAGTCTAACTAAAATGGTTTCATATCCACCAGAACCCTATAATTGAGTTGGCATGCTGAAAGGAAAAGAGTGTATGTAACAATATTTACTGTGGGTTTAAGGATAAGATTGTAAGAAAGGGATCCTGGCTATTGCTGCAAAGAGAATTTTAATAGACTTCTCTGCAGAAAGAATAAGCTATAATCATCATTCTGAATTAAATCTTTTCATATACTCTGAGCAAATTTTGGTCTACCTCTACAACCAAAATTTCCTTCCTCAGATTGTTGGGCATGGTTTTCATAAATGGTATATACCTGGGGTTATGCATGAGTAACCAACCACAGCTTTTGACTTACAGTTTTCAGTTCAGTTCTAAACACCATAAGCCTGAGCAAGCCTAAAGGGAAACAAGGCGTCCAACTGGTACCACATCTACTGACATTTGGCAAAGAGGGGAGGATAGAGAAAGTCTCCTGAAGACTCAGGAGGCTTTGTGCAGGCTCCATTTAAGGCACATTTTTACTAATCGTCACAGTTTCTGAACTCTTTTTCTGGGTTCTTTCAATATTTATGGCATGCATTGCAAAGGCCTGTTCACTTGTCTGTATCATGCCACTAGACAGTGGTTCTCACCTGAGGGTGACTTTGGAAATGTGGAAATGTCTAGAAACAATGGGTTGTCACAACTAGAGGAGCTGTATTGGCATCTAGTAGGTGCTATAAACATTCTACAATGCATAGGACAGTCCCCCCATAATAGTTACCTAGCCCAAAATGCTGATACTGTTCCAATTGAGAAACACTCTACTAGACTGGAAAGGCTTAAAGATAGGATACTCTGTCAATTATATCCCTAACATATAATAAGGACACAATAAACATTATTGTGGACTAAATAATCATAAATGGTATATATACCCCACTACTGTGCACTTGCTCCAGCAACCCAATCTTCACACTGCTTTCAGAATCAACTTTTTAAATGATCTAATCATTGGTTCCCTGCTTTAGTTTGTTTTTTTTGTTGTTGTTTTTTTTTTTTTTTGGTACCGGGGATCGAACTTGGGTCCCTGCACTTGTGCAGCAGGTGGAGCTTTAGATTTTTTGATGGTTCTTAACCATCAAAGATGGTTATTGAGATGCATACTGGCACATTTCTGGATGAAATTAACTGTCTGGGTTTTCTTCCAAATAATTTGGTGGGCAATTGGAAGTGATAAAACAAGATTTACCATGAGTAGATAGCTGGTAAACCCAGCTGGTAGGCTCGTGACAGTTCATTCTATTTTTGTATATATTTGAAATTTTATAAAATAAAGTTTTTAAAATATGAAGCACATAAAATTATAAAAATTCCTCTAATACCCTCTCAGTTGGAGAGAGACTGAATGCCTTAGTCTGTCAGTGAAACATTTCTACTATCTTTCCACTGTTTTCCTTCATCTCTACCTTGAGGACAAAAGTTGGCTAGGCTTTTAGAGTATTTTGTTCTGGAAAAATCACATGTGTGTTCCAAAAAGTAATGCCTCTCTTGGATTCATTTCTATTTGTCACTCACAATTTTTTTTTCCATCTCACCCGCCCCTCCAAAAAAACCCTGCTAGTGTGGCTGAGAGGTTGAGGAGAGGAAATCAACATTTATTGCATGTTCACGATATGCAGGTGCTTTTATCTGTTAAAGTTATATAGTGGAAATTTGGAGAAAATTCAGTATTTCAAACATTTAACTTGCTAAGAATCATATACTGCATATGAATCAGAGCAAATTTGGGGAAGACATTTATTGCTCTTTTATGTCCACACTTCTTTGTGTACATGCACCTTGTTTCAGAAGAAAGATTATCCTCCCTCTTACCATTTTTTAAAATCAGCACTGACGTAGAGTAGCCATCTTTATTTGTGTAAGCCCAACTGTTCTCAAATCCTGTAAAGAGTGGTCACAGCATCCAAAGCAAACAGTACTAGCATGACTGTACTTCAAAATATTTCACAAAGCATGGTAGGATGGCACTACCTCAAGTATTTTAATTGTTTTGCCATAAACCATAGAATGCATAAACTATTCATGGTTTGGGGGGTGGGGGGCTGTGAGTTATAATCCAAAATCACAGAACTTTTTCTGAACTTTAATATACTTTTAAACAGTTTACACATTTCCTAACATCTTAAACTTTTAGAAGAACAAACTTCTAAAAGAATTCATCTTTCTTTCAAAATTCTTCCCTCCTTTCACCCAGTGTTTGGCGGGTATCTTGAATACCAATGCGAAAAGGGATGAAGAGAGGGAAGGGAAATATGAAGGGAAAGATGCTTATGTTCCTGGTAGTTTTTATTAAAAACTAGAATTGACTTCCATTTGGGATGAGGCATAGGGTTTAAGAACATAGGCTGTAGGATCAAAGACCTGGGTTTGAAATCCAACCCTGCCATTTATAGGTTGCATGACTGTGGGCAGGTTATTTAACCTCTTTACACAGGGGTGCCATGAAGATTAAATACAATGATCCACATAAAGCATTTAACACAGAGACCTGTACCAAGTAAATGCTTAATAAATGTTAGATCATCACCACCACCAGCACCTTCATTTACTGTTGAAAGTTTAAGTAGGAAAAGAACACTGGTTCCCAAAGGACTTAGAGATCAAAGGTGGCAAAGATGTGCTCCATTACAAATAGTGCCCTGGAAGAGGAACCCAAAAATATTTATGTACTCTTAATGGCCTATTCTCCCTGCTCCTGGAGGAAGAAAACATCACCTGAAGGATGTCCGTGTTATTATTGGCAGCGGCAGTCACCACTTTCTCTGCCTGGCTCTCTGCCTTTATCTGTTACCCCCAGAAAACCCGCCCATTTAAAAATAAGATGAATCAAATGGACAGGGAGAGCTGGAACTTTGGCATGGCCTTCAAAGGGCACCAATGTAGAATAGGATAGTGAAGCATCCCCTGGGGGTTGGGGAAATTTTACCGCCAAAACTTCATCTCAATAGGGATCTGCCTATTCCCTGGAAGAATATTCATGACCCACTTATTATTCAAATAAGGCAATGCTATTAGGCAAATGGTCACCTTCCCTATTCAAAGGACTATTCCAATTCCCTGTGAAGAGAAAGTGCAGACTCCAATGTTTTGCTCTGAGGAGAAATGATTTTAGAGTCAAGTAATACAAATATAAAAGGTAAGAGAGGTCATCACAGAGCTGAAAATTGCCAGAAAACCTATCCATTCAGTGCAAAGTTAGACAGTTAATTTGCATACCACTCCTGGAAAGCTAACCTAAAGTTTAACTTTCTCAATTTGTTTAAGAAACCTAAGCAAAAACTTTCTTCACCCACATGCTTCTCCACTAAAATCTAGCCTCAGCAAATCTCATGAAATTGCTTTCATACTTGGTAAAACTTTCCTCTTGAACTTTTACATAAAGAAAACACTGAACTTTTGGTATAATTACACAAAGTTTGAATAAAGGTAATTACCTAATTTACAAGAGAAATTACTAAGAAAAATATCACTAGAATTAAAAGAATGAATGAATTGCTGGAAGTTATACTCCTGCAGTATTAATGGGTAATTATTGTTTGGCACAGGAAAAAGCGAGCTGCTGCCTTCAATTACAGCAGAATTACCTCTCTAAAGAGGTAAGAGTAACAGTTGGGGTACAAGGTAGCTGCTGCTATTGTTAAATTGCTTCCATAGCATAAAACAGAGCCAGCTATTGCCCAATTGTGATTGCTTTGAAACACAATTAATTCTTATTTTTTTTCTCCTGAACCCAAGAGAAAGGAATTAGTATTTGGGCAACCCATTTAAAGACAGACTTATAACTTTCAAATGGTTGAAAACCAATCAATAAAAATAAAACAAAGAACAATAAAAAATGTTACTGAAGAACTACTAAACAAATAATATGCCTTCTCATAACAGCTTTAGGATGGCTGGGAAATGAATTAAAAGTTATTTTGCTCCTTCCAACAGCACCACTAAGTGTTGTAGCTGAGAGGGCTCTGGAAGTTATGTGGGCCAGATTCCTCCTTTCCAGGTAATGAAAATGACACCCAAAGAGGTGAGATGAATACTCTGTGGTCTTACAGTCAGTCAGTGCAAAAGCCAAGAGCAGAGTTGTAGGCTCTGGGCCTGGAGCCAGTGTCCTATCCCTACATTCACCTACCTACCCCTATTGGGGGGGGGGGGGAGCTACAACAGCCAGATATGACAACTGCAACAGCACAGCCACCCTTACAAAACTCACTCAGCCAAACAAGAAACCACCAGGACCCACACACTTCTGTTCTGGTAGGTCCCATCTGTTCCAGAGCCGTGCCTGCTGTCTAGGCCTGCCACACCCCAAGCCACTAATGCTTAGATCACAAGTGCCCCTAGATCTGGTGTTACCACCAGTCAGCAGGTCTCCCTGCTAATGCTAAGCAGCTGGAACCAGGCTGTTCACTGGCTCCTCTCCACCTGGGCGGGGGCAGGTGTGTGTGTGGGGTTGCGGCCTGCAGCTCCTGGCCCTGGAATATCTCACCTTGGCAGCACAGAATCCACCTTCAGGCTCCCAGTCTTAGTTTGATACCCTAAATAGCAATGCTTCTGGAGCGGGACAGGTTGTTTCTAGACAGAGACATTGTAACTGCCCAGCTACCCCATGCGATATCTGGTGAAACCAAATGGCAGATGTTGACAGCTACGTGATGCGTCCTTGCTGTTTTGTGCTCCCTGCAGCCATGATGTGGTCGCCCCCTCAGATGCTGTCCTCACATTCCACAGAGCCTCATCTCTGCTCCTAACATCCCCCTAGGGCTGCTGCTCTGCTGGATCAGCTGGTCTAGCCTATGCCAGGTCTGGCTCTGCCCTGCCTTGTCCTCCCAGGTCCTGATGCCATACCTCTTAGGGCACTTCCTTCCTTCTGTACTAGATAAGATACCATTTGCTGAATGTTCCTGCCCATGTAGGAAGAGGCCCCTTGGCTTCCAGTAACAAACACAGTTGTATAAAATTCTGAAAACAATTATTAAATGCATTTGGGTAGTGGCTCTCAATCATCATCTTGCTGCAACACTTTATAGCCAGCCCTACCACTGGCAGTAGAACACAAAAAGATGGACCATGGACTGTGTGCAATTGTCAGTACAACAGGGGCAGCTCCAACCACTTCTTGCACACTCACAGAAGCATATGTAAACATAAGGGAGAGTGACATTGTGACAAAGACAACCTTGACCCTAGTCTAATTTTTTAAAGAAATAATTGGCAAAGGTATCACAACTCAGTCACAATGGCAGCAGAAGAACTAGCTAAAGTGGACAAAGAACGCTTTTCTAAGGTTACTAATAGTTCTTTTGATTAAAACTGGACTTTGATTTATAGTACTGGCTCTTCTTCAGAGCAGCCCTGAGTCTCCTATTCCCTGACTAAGCCTCCCAAAGCGCACCTTTAGGTTCTGCTTGGTGGATCACGGCCAGTGGCTTGGTAAATGTCTTCTTGTTCTGCATCATGGCCCAGATCATGGCAGCATCCAGCGAGGTACAGGCTTCGTCGGGAGGCACACACTGTGGGGGACAGGGCAGAGCACAGAGTCAGGGGTCGCTTGAAAGTGCCCTCACCAGTTGGGCCTGTACAGTTGCCTCATGGGCGCTTATCAGACAGCTCACAGCTGTGTACCAAAGAAAACAGGAGATCTGTGTGCTTTTCAAAGAACCTTCATCAGACAGCTATCGTGGCAGGCCTAGCATATTTTCAGCTGCACTGGGGAGGTGCAAATCTCACAGGATGGCTTATAAATATTGTCCTCCTCACCCTTCTTCCCACAAAACAACTAGAAGTTTTAGAGTTAGTTTGAAAAACTAACTATATGAACTATATGACTAATGTCCTTTCAGCAAGCTGGCTTCATATAAATGGTTTGTAAAAATATCTGTAATTAGTGCTTGTGACTGTGGGAAACTTCATGTATTACATTATGAAGGTGGCAGATTTTACATTTCTTATCCAAAAAGATAATCATGTTGTCAAGTTTGTTTTGATTTTTTAAATCCTGGGAAAGGCTTTGAGAAATCAAACTTTCCAAGGCCATCTGCCTTTTTGGTTTTGTTTGTTTTGGTGCTAGGGATTGAACCCAGGGCCTTGCATATGCTAAGTATGTGCTATACCACTGAGCCACATCCCCAGCCCAGGGTCATTCGCTTTTCATGTTTCAAAATTCAGGTCCTCAGGAGTGGTGTGCAGGTGTGTAGGCCATGAGATCAACAGCTTCTAGCTCATTTAAAGCCTCAAACATATAAGGAGTATGCCTGGGGTTCATGACACCTGGAAAATGTATGATCACACCCTAGTACCTTTCCCTTTAAAAATAACTTTAGCTCTTTGTCAATGCTTATCAATAGATGACATTCTAAATGACACCCATTTGCCAATCATTTAAAAATTCCATGGCAAGCCATTCCCCCAAAAAGCTAGTTAAATTCCAGCTCTCCCAATCACAAATGAGCAGACATGTAAGGCTTATCTGTCATGGCTGCTCTGGGCAACACAAAAGTCAGACATACATTATAAGAAGACGACCCCACAGAGCATTACCCAAAACAAGAGAAATGCCTTTACAAAAGCTTTCTTTATGGTTATCAAAAGATTTGCATTTTATTTTCCTATTTTATTTTCACTTTTCCAGTATTCATTCTCTTACTGTCCTGTTAGTTAAGTAACAGTCAAGGATTCTACCTGTATCTCAAGTGGGTGACTCTGGGCCAGACACTTGACTCTCTGGACCTCCATTTCATCAGAAAAGAGGAGGGTTGGATTCAATGATCTTTGAAACCTTCCTCTAGAAGATTCTTAGGATACTGTCATAGAAAACTCTCAGAAGTTATTAGAAATAAGGAAAATATTACCTACAAACAGCAAATGAGAAGACAGCAGTAATAGTTACACTAAGCCTATGCTGCATCATATCTACTGTCTTGTTTGCTTTTCTACCCAGGAGGGAAGCCAGGTGTTACTATTTTTGACTTATAGATGCAAATATAACAGGTGAGAAGAGGCCTTGCTTAAAATCCCATGAGCAAGCAGCAGGCCTTCCTTGTCAACTGTCCATGCTCTTTCCACTGTCTTGGAGGTGAGGCAGGACTTGAAATTCAGGGTCATAGCCCATCATGGGGCTCTGAACAAGAGTTCTAGAAGGAAATATTAAGTTTAATTTTCACAGATTAACACACTATGAAGCTAAGATGCTTTCGGCAGACCCCAAGACAGGCAACAGCCAAAGCCACCAACCAGGATTGCTGCTAAGTGTCAGGCTTCCTCTATGAAATGCTTAACTCCTAAAAGTTGCCTTTCTGCTTGGAGGAAACAGCTGGGTCCCACAGCTAAGCACTCAGTCCTCATGGTTCTCTACCACTGTCCACTGAGCCCTGATTTCACAGTCACTGGAAAGTGACATGTCCATGAAGCTAAGACATTAATGATTTAAAAAGCAATGAAACAAATACAGTCTAAGTCACCTTGTGTGTGTACCCTAATGATTATAATCAGATCTGCTGTGTTTTCATAGGTAGACAAAATTCTCAAAGAAACAGATGCCTAGAGAAATATAATAATGCAAGGGATTCAGATACATGGTAATTTAGTAGAATATGATCATTTTTCCTTCTACACCTATTTCTTATAGCCTATATATTAAATAAGAGATTTCTACAATACATTATTAATGATACAGCTTGATTCTTAGCCTCTGAGATTGATAAGTGCCTACAAAAGGATAAGAAACTACCTTATTCTGTGTGGTATCTACCACATAAATGCACATAGGAAGTCACACATAATTATAGCAAGTCACTGAAACAAAGTTATAACAGAAGATTCCTTTCCCACATAAGGCCAACCTAACGAGGTATCATAATTAACCTTGTGGAACCCCTGCAGTAGCATTCCAGCAAGGCCAAAGGGTTCTGATTTCTGTTATGGCAACCGAATGTACTGGTTCAATATGAGGAGTGACATGAGATAAACACAATGAACTGATATGAAACTGAGAAAAAGTAAAATATTTTTTAGTTTCCCTTAGAAATCCTTCTGAGACAAGTCAACCTTATAATTCATACAGAGAAGGTCAAAAAACAATTGTAATCCAAGTCTCAGCGGGACCTGGAAAAATTAATCCTCACACTGAACTTGTCCTTTCGCCTTGCTGCAATTCTGGCACTGCACACTAGCTCACTAGCCAGAGATAAAGCCAAGCCTCTCCCTCAATGGAAAACAGTACTGATTTATCACTCATAAGGTACGACTAAGTAGCATACATAGAAAGAAAAAAAAAACATACCATCAGGATTTATTCTACAAGACTCCATAAAACTCACGGTTCCCTGCTCACACTGATTTTATTACTTCAACTGGGCGATTCCAAAACCAAAAGCCTCAACTTGAAATAACCTGGGATTCAACTTCCCCAGGAGGTCACTATCTTGTGTAACAATGCCAAAAAGCCAGTCCCTCTGGATGGAAGTCCCACACACCTTAGGCAACTTCTGGTGATCCTTCTCCTTCTCGGTACACAGTGTCAGCTCACATTGCAGGAAGAGCAGTGAGGTGTTGAACATGGACTTAAAGACAAAGCTGAATCTCTTCTTATCCATCTCAGCTTGTGGGATAGGAAAGTGCACTCTCTTGGGACTGTAGAATTTCACAGATTCATCTTTAGGACAAATGTTCTCAATGATGGTATAATCAGACATCCTATCAGGGTTTGAAGATGGAGAGATAAAGCACGTTTGGATGGCAAATCCTAGTTCTTGGTCAGCCTTAGTGACAGACACCTACAAAAGAACAGAAAGATAAATTCAGACATTAGTAAGCGTCTTTTATTTAAGCATGAAGACAATATACCAATATAGCCCTTTGGATGAGATATTACTTTATTTTCAAAACATGTTTGGTAGTAGCATATATTCATTAAAGAGATATTTTCCATTTAAACTTGATATGGATGATGACAGTGAATTATTTAGTTCAAGTGTTATCCTACTATGTTTCAAATGCAACATGAATGTCTGTCTCAACCTGCCAGAACTCCTGAGAGATGAAAATAAAAGCACACCATGCACCTGACTGAATTTTCCAAAGTAAAACACCCACAGCTAAAAGCCCTAATGTTATAGCAGTGTGTTAAAAATTGCTAAAAAAAAAAAAAGTAGAGAGGCAGAATCTAGTTAACACAGGCAGGAAAGACTGAGCTTCTAAACTGCAACAAATCAGAGCAAACCTAGAACATTACAGTAAAACTCCAGATTCATCTTAAGTTCTCCTTTGTTAGGGAGTAGGCAGAGCTGCCTCTGGGGCTGGATAACAGACAATGCAATCTGGTGGCCATCACAGGCCTGGCAAAGTGTCCCAGCTGCTCACAGGACCACACCAGCCTTGCCAAATACTCTCCCTTCACTCTTTAAGCCCACGGTTATTTTAAGGGAAATCTAATCTGGAAACAGTTCCAACTCATTTACACTTCCCTCTTACAAAACATTTGTCTGGGCCATGTCCAAATCTTGTTAAGGTTCTTTTCTTTAGAAACAGGAAGTAGTGGTTAGCGAAGTATAAACAGAATCAAACCTCAACTATCCTGAACTCAGCTAAAATCCCCAGAACAGACTGATTCTCCATTTGGTAACATGTGGATCACTTTGTGAACTGCCCTTCCTCCTTCTATATGCCTCATTCCTCAACTAAACTTAGGATCAAAATAAACTTAGACACTTTAGAAATAAAGTTAGTTCTTACCCATGGGCCAAAAGCCCCACGATCCTTTCAAAAGATGTGGAGAGATAAATAAACTTTCCATTCTGAGATACCCAGGGGAAATCCCTGACACCAAATGGGGCTTTGAATCCACAGCACTATATGAAAGATCTCTGTGTGAGTACTATACAGTACTCAACAACGAAGATGATGAAAGCAGGAGGATGCTAATGAAGACGATAATGACAATGTCACTTTGGAGTGACATTCTGTAAATATTCACACATTATTATTTTTATAGTATTTCTGCAGAACAAGATATTCTATCTTGGAAAGATGGTAAATTACATATATCCTAGTAGCAAAAAGTATCCTTTAACATGAGCTCAGAGCTCATCATGTGCAACTCACTAAAAATGTCTAACAAAAGTACTGCAAATCTTACTCTCAAAGGAAGTATGTAATGGCAGAATGTTTAGGGTATCCCAAAAAGTTGTCTTGGAGGGGAAAAAATATCAGCAAATCTTTTATGCTTAAATATACCGAAAGGCTGGGGATACAACTTCAAGGTAGAGCACTTGCCCTCCATGTGTGAGGTTTTGGGTTTGATCCCCAGCAATGCTAAACAAACAAACGAAATGGACAGTAAGTGAGTAGTAGAACACTACAGGCTTTGGAGTGACACAAGTTCAAGGAAACCACACGCTCTGCTGCTCATGTGTGTACCCTGAGACTCAGTATCCTCAATTAAAGAATGAAGACAGTAATACTTATACGGTATAGTTAGTGAGAGAATCAGTAATATAAAAGTTACATTTCAACAACAAGCTCTGGGTAGTCTGACTTCTAGGTAATCAGATTAGGAATGTAGAAGTTATATGTGCTTCACTTAATATTATGCCCTCAAGGAACATCTATTTACCTACAAATGCCTCAAGTTTATCTTTCTGTATGGCAGAAAGCATAAATCCCACTTTGAGAAACACACACACACAAATAATAGATAAACAGAAAATAGGAAGACCTCTTTCAAATGGATGGGCTAACAAGAAATTGGGGGGGGGGGATGAAAAAAGACCTAAGAAAGAAAAATGAAAACAGAGCTTTTACAAATGGGAAGGGGACCAAGAGTTGCAAAGAACAGGGGGCAGTGGGTAGGGGATGGAAAGAAAAGAATTAAGATGTATTATGTACATGTACCAATTCCCCACGATAAGTGTAATCATTTATGTGCTGCAGATATGTATGAATAAAAAATGTTACATGTGAACAACACAGCTTCTAGGCAGTCAATTAGTAGCATGATTCTAGATTTAAATTTGGAGGGTTACAAACTGTTTTCTTCTTTAATTCTTCAAGACAAATTAACTAAAAGAGAAATTGCCATTATATTAATAACAATCACCCAAAGATGACCAAAGAACAGGCGGCAGAACTGTTAATGTCTTGGATTAGAGGAGGAATTGTGGCCTAGAGGGAATGGAAGATCTGGGGAAAGGATAAGAATGTCAGGGAGAAGAAACCAGGAAGTAGTTCTTTAGACCAAGTCAATGATTTATAAGTTTCACTTAACCTAAGTAAAAAAAATTTCCTACTAGCAGTGGAGTGCAAAGTGGAAAACAAAGATGAGGCATAGTTGGTTGCTGTCCTATTTAGCAAAACATTTACAGATTCTCTTATATTTTAGGTAGTTTAAATCAATTTTTAAAATAAAACAGTTTATAACATTTTCCCCATCCCTAAATTCTCCTTGATGTACTCAATACTTAAAATATTTTGGTACAAAGATTTGGTCCACTTTTTACTAAATTTAACTACACACAATACAGATGATATTTGAAAGGATATGGTGGGAAAACAAGAATAAAAAGGGGAGGGAAAAACCTACCAATAATATATTTCAAGTAACCCAACACTGCAAGGATGAAGGAAAAAGCCCCAAAATATCCAGGGTAAGATACACAAGGAAGATTAACCACTGATTAGGATAAACTAGCAAAGCCATAAATTAGCCAAGCCAGGCACATATTTAGAAAAGAACAAAGTGCAGTTAAACAATGCCGCTAAAATCCACAGCACAATGGGAAGCCGCTGACCAAAGGTGCATGTGGATTGCGCAGCCAGGAAAGCCAGAGGAAAACAGCAACCTTGGATTAGGAGAGAGCTATGATTAGGAACAGCATGTAGAAAGCAGTGCTTTTTCCTCAGCAGGGAATGTAGGGGCACCCAAAGAAAGAAAAACACTCTCAAAACAGGAGGTCAAAAGAGGAGAGACATAATCTCTATGATCAAGAAAAACATCTAGAGCCAGTGGGCTTGGTCCCAGAGCCAGTGCAGATGTGAGAGTTATCTGTCTTTTTAAAACAGATACGTGCACTGAAGTCACTTTTAACATAAGGTACTAACCTATTTCAACCCCTCAAGCTTCTCTCCCCTCTCACAGTAATGCAGAACACCAGCTTGCAGCTTAGCACCCAAACCAGATCATCAGATGACAACATCCCTTAAGACTGGCAGACAATACCCCCAGTGGAACACTACAAGTTCTGCCCAAGGCACAGTGACAACAGACAGTCTGGTGCCATAGGAGATTTGCCTTTGCTAGAGTCTAATCTGTGAAGCTAGATACTTGCATTGATAAGAGGTTATGTTTTTTTCCCTTTCAAATGGCACTTTGAGGATAAATAACAATAGCATCCAGTGGACAATGGTGTGGATTATGGAGCCACATAGTTTGGGGGGGGGGGGGGTCTCAGTCTGAACTCTACTAGGTAGTAGCTGGGTGATCTTGGACAAGTTTGTTCCTCAATTTTCCATACAATGAAGTTACTATCTGTCCATTCTCACAGTATTGCTCTAAAGAGTTAACTAATTACAATACTTACAATAGTATTTGGCATATCGTACATCAGCAATAAAGTTAGCTGCTCTTATTTCATTATTATTACTATTACCTAACATTTTTCATTCTTTCCAGATTTATGCTATCATGATTATTGGTTTTACATAGGAAATAGTTTAAATAAATGTATATATTTAAATAATGATTCAGAAAAGATCATTTTCATGAAAGGTAGCCAATAGTATTTCACTTAAAAATAAGTGCAATTTAAAAGATAATATGTGAGGCGATTTGAAACATTCCATGGTTAACTCTGACACTGAAACTTCTGAACTGCTGTTCTAAAAAATGCTAGCTTCAAAGCAAGCACAGGGCTTTATTACAATCCATACTCTGTCCTTTTTATTTTTCATATTTATTTATCAAATATTCTCTCCCTTTAGCATAATGTAGTAAATCCTGAATTTTCTTGTTCTGTTCAGAAAGCAACCTGAAGCATTTTGTGAGCCAAGCCATCATCCAGAGCTGGGGAGGGCTGTGAGGAGAGGAAGGAAGAGGCCCACATGAGGTGCATTAGCTATTGTCTCCGGAACTGCAACTCAGAGCTGAGCTGAAAGCCCAAGGCCGATGTTAAGGTCTCACCTCAACGTAAATGTGTCCGTTCTCTGCCACAGAGAAGACCCCTTGGGAGGGCACCAGAAAGAGGTCAGTGTTGTACAGCTCCATGTTGAAAGTGATGTTTCCACTGGGCTGGTCCTGGAAGCTGCTGGGATTCCCCAGCTGCCTCAAGCTACAATTAAACTGGAAAAAAACCCAAAGATAAAATTAAATCATAGTCACATGAAGGATGAAGGCCTGATAGCTTTATAAGCTGTGCCTTTTAACATATAACTTTATTTTCTGATAGTCCCTAATGAAAGCCAACTAAATGGACAACATTCTCCATATACTACCTACTAAAAGCCAATACATACCATCACAATTTCAGGACGGCTGGAGAGGGAAACATCTCCTTCATCCAAATCTCCTGGAAATCCATTATCACCTGACTCCAAATCTTCATAACCATCTGGCCAGCCACTGCTGTCCCCAGGCGACGGGACCTGTATCACAATCTAAAAGGCAAAGGAAGCACAATCACTGTTACAGAAAACCTAACCATGGACATTTGGGTCTGTATCATGTGAATACACATGTAACAATTCAGGCGCAAATTAAAAATCCGACTTCAATATAAAAAACTACAAGATTTTCAGGATTTCATCTTCACAGTGATAAAAGAAATAAGAACAATGCACGTTCTAGAAAAGATCTGAACGAAAATTTGTATTTTCCCTGGTGAAAAATACAGATTGATTTGATAATTACATTAAATAATTATAAATTATTACCTGGAGTGCGAAAACTCTACACACTGAAATAGAGTTGAATGGGGTTGTCAACAAACTTACATATATTCGGGGGGGTTCTTTTCTTTAGGTCTTTATATTAAAAACCCTAAGCAATACTAAGAGTTGGCTACTGCAAAGAGCTTTTATTATTTGTTCTCTTTAAGATTTGCAAAAAGTTTGGGTTCAATTAGAAACAAAGAGCCTCGGGTTTACAATGGAGCCAATCTCATCTTTTCTCTTACACTCCTCTTGCTCATTTCTTTCCCAATATCCTTCTGTATGGTATACAGATGCAGAAAAAGATATGTTCTTTTCGAGGAAAATCTATCTTAACACTGGTTGAAGTTATTGTTCCTGGATTAGTTCTAAATAATATGGAGACGGTCACTCAAGACCATGACTCTATAAATAAAATCCTAATTTCTTTCCGCTCAATATTGGATTATGAACATGATGAAAAACAAAAACACATTATAATTCTAAAAAAAATTACTAGAAAAAGTTATAACTGAAACAATTAAAATATTCACTGAAGGAAATAGAACAGGAAGAGTATGAAGAAAAACTGCCTCTTCTTTATCAGGTTCTCAAAAGAAAGTACTGATGCAATTGAAACAAGTACTCAGGCTATTGCTTACACTATAATCATAATAAAGTACATAAAAATATATGAAAAAGAAGGGTCTTTAAGAGATCATGATATGCCTTTATCTCCTGAAGCAATTTTTGTCCTTAACAGTATCATACCCTGTTACTGGATGGGGTGGATTGATTAAAGGTCACCTTGTAATGCCCAGGTGAACTGAATCAGTGCGGTCTGGGTGTGGAGTATCCACCTGAGGACTGTTACCAATAGCCATAAAAAGAGAACTGGAGGGGAAGATCTTGGCCTGCTGATTATCTAGGAGAAGCTTGCTGCGGATGGTTTTCCTGATATGAATTAGACTGCTCTCATCGAAGGAGGAACTCGGGACCTCACTCTTGCTGGGAATGTGCTGTTTTCATCAGGGGAGCTCTGATCTTCACTGTGAGCATCACTTCCTGGGTCCAATGTGGATCCCTCAGCCTGGTGGCAGAAATCCTTCATCTCACCAGCATAGATTTTCTGGCTTCCACCACTGGCCTTTGGGCCTTCCAGGAGCAGATCTTCAATACAGAAGAGCATGATATATTGCCATGGGCCCTAGGCCACTCGCTGGACTCAAGGAGGACACTGCCTTGGACTCTAGGCCTTCAGCTGGACTTGTGTGGGAAACTGCTGGGATCTAGGCCCTCAGTTGAATCCGTTGGGCTTCTAGTGTGCAGTTAATCTCTTGCGCTCCTTTGCATTTAAATCTTTGGGTAATTATCATAAAATAACCTTAAAGTTGTGTGTCCTATATTTAATGTATTCCCTTGCTGAATCCTTCTGACTACAACACTGGTGTTAATTTGGATATCAGTTTTTAAATGCTAAAAGTCAAGTACAGCAGTAATATATGACATTCACTACATCTACAAGAAAATTAATGTTGTAATTAGCATGAAATAAAAAGTTAATAAATTATTTGTATAACAAAGGGGTATTTGCTAGGCCAGCCTGCTACTGAAGAAAGATTACTGGACAAGAGATCAGGAAGCTGGGTTCAATCCTAGATTTGCCATTAACTAGTCACCTGAAGCTAAGCAAATCTTTTAACTCCCCAGAGTTCAATTTCCTCACCTGTGAAATAAGGAAATTGAATGAGATCATCTCAGAGTTTTTTCCACCTCCGGCACTCTGAGGTTCTCTGAGGAATACTAAACTTGGGCCCACAGAAGAGCCACTGCCATATAACCACACTGACCAGAGCCCCCCGTCTCCAGCCTCTTCTCTGGATTGGGCCAAGTTACCTGCAGCCTGTCAGGGGAAAGAACAGCAGCCACAGCCACCCCACCCCATGTCAGTGTTGGAGTAGGCATTCGGAGTACACAGGCAGATACTTTGTGCCAAAGGCAGACAGAGGATGTCTGAGCCTTATTCTTACCATTGAAAGTACAGCCATAACTACAAAATTAGTACTTGGAAGTTCTTGTGAGATTTCATGTTTCAGATCCTTTTTAAATTCACTGCCTACCATAGTCTCTCTCTCAGAAAACAGATTTAAACTGAAAAGATTAGATGAACTGAGAAGAAAGACTGCTGGAAGGTTAGTGACCGTAATGGTTATCACGGAGAGAAATCTGTGGAATCTTTCTCCAGATAAATTCTAAATGTAGGGTTTTTCCTAGAAGTGGAGAAGGTGACTTCGTAATTCTTTCCAAGTCCTTTTAGATTTTTAAATTCTCTTTTTGGACCTTTATTTATGAGGAAAGGAGAAGCCCTCTCACTTCTGGATAAGACCCAAGTGAGGCCAGACAGACCATACACCTGGTTAGAGAGTCTCCCAGTTAGCCCAAGGGCTGGCCATAGAAAGAAGTCAGGGTCACTTTTCTAGTGAACCCTTTGCCATTGGGAGATGGAAGGAGAAAGAGAGTGAGATCACCACAAGTCCAGGTGAGAAAATAAGGCCTTCCAACTCCCAGACTCACCAATAAAGCAAATGAAGAGCTCAGGGGAAGGTGCATCACATTTTGTTGAGAACTGACTCCTGGCTTTATTCAGGTACATCATTTTCATAGGAAGATAAGACTAATCTTAAGGTAATACCCAGCAATTCTCTGGAGAAGGGCAAAACTTTGTTGTGAAGAACACTCACAGAGTTATAGTAAACCACACCACGGGAGGCTGACTGCCGCCGGCGCCGAGTTCCACAGCCATTCAGGGGAGACTCCAAAATGAAGTGCGTGCCATTCATCTTGGCCTTGCAGGAAGGATCCAACAGGGTGAGCTCCATCCCTGAGTAGCCGTTGGTCTGAAATAACAACCACCAAAGATATCCTGGAGGACTCATAGGCAGTTCTGCTTTACACAGTTAACACACACGGCCCGACTTCCAAGTAAAAGTGGCTGAAGGCCTGTATCCTGCCCCTCCCCCACTCACCTCTTCCCGGCTGACCACCTGTGTGTGAACAGCCTAAGAACTGTGTTTGCTGGTCTTGGAAATTCAATAGCAAAATACTGATATACAAAGCTCTGGGATCCCCCTCCCCTTCACTGAGAACAACAGGAACCAGGTGAGAGTCACAGCCAAGGGGAAGTGGGACCATCCAACTAAAAACCATACCAAGTCTCCAAAGTTCAAAAGTAAAAGAGCGTGAACACAGAATGGGGCAAAATGGGAAAGGAAGTGGCTTCTCTTCTCTCTTCTAACAGACTGTACTGACCTGAAAAGAATCTTTTTCTACAGCCACAATCATCTTTTCATTGTCACATTTGACTGATGGGACAATATCCATGCTCCCTTGTGCCTCTTCCGGTTCTCTGGGACCAGGAAACAGTTGTACACTGGAGATGACAGAATCCTTTAGCCTAGGGATCCTATCTTCTCCTCCTTCCTTCCGGCCTCTCCTGGAGATATCAGGAAAAGGAAAGGGGAGACCTCCAGTTCGGCTACCCCCTCCCTGGAAGGGTGGGTTCTCCGGGCCAGGCAGGATGACTGGGTCCAGCAGGATCTGTAGCCCAGGAGGGATGGTATGAACTTCCTCATCTCTCATTTCCTCTGTGGCAACAGAAGAGGGCAAATCATCATCAATGTGTGATACCAGGCCACGATCATCACAGTAAGAGGCAGAGCAGGAAAAATTAGCACAGAATGGGCAGTGAAAAATTATATTTAACAAGCAATGTTTAAAAGCAACTAGGAAGCCTGAACTCCAGTCTTGGTGCTCCAACTAACTGGGTGGCTCTTGGTAAGTGGCTTCTTGTTCCTCAGTTTCCCAATTTTTAAAATTAGGGAGTTGGATTATATCAGTATCTTAACTTTGGATGTACATTAAAATCACTTTCGGAGCTTAAGAAAAATCCCTATCCCCAGGTTATACTCCAAGCCAATTAAAACTTAGACTCTCTGGGGTGAGATGCAATCATTAACACATTTTAAGTGCCCTATACGAATGAAATGTACAGCCAAGATTGAGAAATGTTTTGGTAGATAATTTCTATAATATATAAATAGAAGCTAAACATCTGTGACTAGAGTAAGTTAGGTGGGGCAATATTATTCCATTCAAAAGCCATTAGAATACTTTCCTTGAAATTAGAAATTTAAAAAAAACTCTCAAAAGATTTCCTGAAACAATAACAGTATTTTTATTTATATTTATTTCTTACATTGCTGGGGATCAAACCCAGGGCCCCAAGCATGCTAGGCAAGTGCTGTACCATAATCTACACTCTTTGCCCCAATTTTGGATTTTAAAATTATTTTGCTACTTTCTTTTTTAACTGCTAAATTCTAGAAGGTACGGGGTTTCCCACACTTTCAGAACTCAGTACCAAAGGGGAAAACAAAGAGCTACACAGACACACTTATTGCTTCAAAGAGAGAGAGATTTCCATACAATCTATATTCAATATTCTATCATATTCTCAACAATTTAAAGAAAAATTATTTCCGTAGTATTCCCTACTTTCTACTCAGTATCTAAGGCCAACTGGTATATACTGGAAGTCAAATCCACATCAGTAGAGTTTGGACATGAAGATGACCTGTGAATTTGAATTCTCCTTCAATATAATCCTTTTGAAAAACATGCTACAGCTGTATGGGTCCCAAAGAAGTCATAGCTTTGGAGGGTCTTTAATTTATACATTAATTAAAACTTTTACAACAACCCTATAAGGTAGGTGCTATTATTTTCCCCCAAATTACTGAAGAAAAAGCTGAGGCTCAAAGGTTATACACCTTCTCTCCAAACAGTGAATAAATGGTAGCACTGGGACTTGAACCTAAACTTGTAACTTTCATTCTACTGTCCCTGCACTCAGTGGGACCAGGAGGTGAGAAACAGATCAGGAGCTCAGAAAACTTGGAGCTCGAGTTATGTTAGTTATAAGACTGGAAATCCTGGAGAACTTGAGCCTCTGCTTTCTGCTCCATCAAAAGAGAGTGACAACTCTTTCCCTCCCTCTGGGTAACAAAGCCCAAGTATGAGCCTCCTGACCATTTTTCTGCAAGATTCAGCCTCTGACCTTGAACTTATTTCCTGCAGTCCTAACCATCTCTCTCTTCAGCCACATATGGTTATTAAATGCCTCTGAAAGAAGAACCCAGGGTAATTTATTCCTAATATAATCATAATAAATATGATCTATAACATAATTTTCTGACACAATCAACTCTGTGTTATGAAAATCTGTATTATAGTTTGGCTAAAATAATCTGTCACAATTCTAGATAAGTATATGCCTTGTGGTAGAAAATTTGAAATAGGAAGAAAAGGTCCAAAGGGGTAGGGGAAGTGGGAGGGGAAGGGGAAAGGAAAGAAGGGCAAGGAAAAATTATGAGAAAAAAAATGGAAACAAAGTCTATGTAAATAGGGAAGGGTGGAGGGGGTGAAGGGCGTACAGGTAATGGGGAAAAAATAAGAACTAAGATACATCATGTACAGGTACAAGCACCCAATGATAAGTGTGAACATATTGTATACCTAAAATGAACCAATAAAAGAATTTAAGCAAAAAAAAAAAAAAAAAAAGTGCAACAGAAAAACAGCACCACTCAGGCTGAAGTGAGAGTTCCTCACTGGAAAGCTTCATTTGGAGGGTATTTTTCATACAACGACCTCCAAAAAAAGTCATGCTTACCATTGTTTTCAACTCTAACATGAAATCTGTTAGCTACCGGAGCCAGTGTGTATGATGTCACTGGACTATAGCCGTTATCCAAAGCCCACTTCACCAAATTCTCTTGGGTGGAAGGAATGTCATTTCTTATTGATCTGGTCATTGTCATGGATCTTTCATTCTCTTTCCCAAAGCCAATACTGTTGGGAGCCTAAACAAACAAACAACCAGCAAAATTTCACTCATGACTCCAAAAATCAAAAAACACTTTAAATAATAATAATTAACTCCAGATTGTACATAAGAGACTATTCTTTTGATTCCTATTTTCCTTGGGCTAAGAACACTGGTGTAAAAAACCTTTAACAGCAGATGAAGAGACATCTATTCATGCTATGTAATCACAGCATTTGCACTGCTTGTATTGATAAAAAATAATCCAATGACAGCTATGTAAGTAGTCACATGCTAAACATACCTCATCTATCCCTACAGAACTAGTTTAATGGTTACATTATTAATATACAACACCAGATATGTATATCAAACCTTCTTTTCTTATTTTTATTTAAAATTATATATAAAGAATACAGGTGTACATGTTATATGACCAAAAAAGGTCTGCGCTTCTACTTTCGTGCCCTGTATTTATTTATTTAAAAAAATTTTTTTTGGTACCAGGGATTGAAGTTGGGACCTTGTGTTTGCGAGGCAGGTGCCAGAACCACTGAGCTAAATCCCCAGGCCTGTGCCCTGTATTTAAATGAAAGATGTCACAGCCTAGTGACTTCACTGTGGAGACTATCCCAACTTTATTAAATTCCACATGGTTAAACAACAAATGTTTATATTTTATCTATAATTTATGATCATCTTAGCAATCTTTTAATAGTGTTCATTTGCCAATCCTAATCAACTGAATATGGCTACAATTTATGTTCTAAAATGTTAATTAAAGTTATCACTCCTCTAGGTACCAAAATTTTATTCAGTAAAATATGGAGGTCATAAAATTAGTTTCACTGTGTAATTAGTAAAATGAGAGGTATACACAGACTCTTAGTAACCAGAACCTAGAAGGTAAATGTCTGTGTTACCTGCTGACTCCTGTAGCAGTGACCTTGTCGGAGGCCAGGGGAGCTGAATGCTTCATCGGGTTCCTCAATGGGAAGACACATTTTCAACAACTGCTCCAACAGGGTGGAGAGCCCTTTCAGTGTGCAGATTATGCCATTTTCATGCTGAATAAAAGGCACTTTAATTTCCATGCCCAGTGATTTTCTCCCGTATATATGCAGCATTTTCCCTAAATTCCTCATTTGTTTCCCATTCTGTTTGCCCCTAACATGACTAAATATTAATCCTTTCCCACTGTAAAACCATAAAAGATTCACAGGCTCTAAATTCTCTTGGCCTCTTTGGTCACAGGAGACTGGCTGAGGACACATATACTTCACTTCAAAGCTTAAAGGATCTCACCCAGTCTGTTTTTCTATTACCCAAAGTGCTTATGTGAGAGAAGACTGCCAGACTGACCAGTCACATAAAGGAACATTGCACATAAAGGAACCAGATGGAGTTTTAACCAAGTTTTGCAGCCATCTGTAAACTCAGCTTCACAGATTCAGAATGGTTTAGTTCTTACTCCGATTCAGGGAAAACTTTTTGGAGGAATACAAGGAAAGGAAAAGCAGGAAGAGGGAGGAAAGAAGAAAAAAGAGAAAAGGAAAGAAAGAAAACTAAAATAAGGTAAAGCAGGATCCAATTAGTTGTTAGAGCATTTTACTTATTTGTTCACCAGCAGTTTCTTAAGCACAGCTCCTTCCAGCTTTTCAAAGCAGCAGATCGTTTTGATTGGCTGGAATCACAACCTTGGCCTAAACAATGCTGCTTGGCCTCATCTGCCCTGGTCTTTCATGTTGTTGTACAGCTGAGAAAATACTGTATTTACAGAATGTTATCATAACTACCAACTGTCCTTTTATAACAATATGGAATAATCTGTCTACACCTTTCCACATTACATTATAGGAGCTGTCAGTACCCCTTTAAGGACAAGAACTTCCTACAAGACTAGATATCTATCCACACATTTATAAAGCAGCAAGTCTCAGGATAATAGTAGACAAGCTGGTTCTCAGCACTGAGCAAATTCTTTTCTCTTCATTTCCTGGAGTTCTCAGACTTTTTCCAACTATAGTGGAGGTAAGGGGGAGTTCAAGCAGGTCTCTAAATACCACACCATCTTGCTCAGCCACATCTTTCTTTAGGAAAGATGATGAGCTAGGTTAATAAGTCTAAGTGCCGCTACCCTTTGACCCCCATATTTGTATCAGAACTGCCCTCGGGGAGGGATGTTAGGGGAAGGTGGGCCAAAGAGGGTAGGGCCTATATTCACTGATTTTAAAAATGACTTTTCTAAGAATAAGCTTTCCACCACAACTCTGTAAATCCCAAGGCCACATAAAACAGTGTAAGAAGATCAAGTTTACTTGATCTCTTCTTTTATGTTCCAGGTTTTTCCCCTGCTTTGAAAGTGATTAAGCGTTGGCCATGTGGAACTTGAGGAAAGAGCCAGAGCTGGACATGACGGTGTGGACACATCCAGGGTTCCCATTCTTGCCCAGCAAAACCTTTTGATCTCTTTGAACCATTTTGCCATTTGAAGGGTGCATTCTGCCTGCACAGGCACAAGCCATCCATGTTTAATGTGCTCTTATTTAAAGTTACCCCATCAAGCTCCTTATGTCTACTTTAGTAGACATTTTTCTTTGTTTTCACCTTGTTTAGAGAAATGCCCTAATTGTTTCTACAGATATACTCTCAAAGAGAGCTCTTATGGAAGGAATGTTAGGCACCATGTGAGGAGCTTTACATATATTATTTAATCCTCCTCTAAAATAAGGCGAGAGGTGTGGCTATTCCTGTGTTAGAGAAGGAGAACCAGAGACTCACATAATCAGAGACTCTCAGAGAACTCAAGATGTGTGGGCATTGTGTCCAGTACTTTAGATGAAATATCCTGTAGGCCTTAACCAATAATTGTTGAATGAATGAATGAACAAATGAACCAACTCAGTTAAACCACTGAAAATGAGTGCTAACATCATACCCATTTCACAGATGAGTAAACAAATTCAGTATTCAATTAGATTGCCCAATATTTGCTAGTCTTGAGTCTAGCACTGTCTGACCCACAGCCAGGGTTCTTTCCACTCCATCATGCTGTCTATACTTAAAATACTAGAAAAAAATGGTCTCATAAAAACATTTCTCCCTTTCTAAGCAGTAACCTTTTAATTACCGGGTACCTTTTTTTCTCCCACAGCCTAGTCAGAATTCACATCTGAGACAGGGAGTAAGGAAATCACCAAGCATGAAACTGACTGGGAGAAGAAAAAAGAACATCATGAAACATTATCTAATTGTTTAGTAATGTTGTCATGCATTGTCCAAAATTGGCCTGGAACAGGAGTACAGCCAAGGAGAAGAACATAAACAGATCTTTCTTGGGATGAGCGATCTCATCTCTAGCCTTTCTAATTCGTATAAGAGATGGGACATTCCCAGTGAACTCTGGGCTGCCACGGACCAGGCACACATACTCAGGGAGAGAAAGAGCCACTGAAGGGTCAGGGCTGAAAGAATATTTATACAAGAACTCTGGCTGGGAATTCAAATATACCGTATGGTTTTTGCCTTTCCAAGCATGATTCCCTTTCCTGTTTTTGTTATTCTGAAATTAAAAACATTTGCATGGTATGCCAGGCAGCAAAATCAGGAGACACCCCAGGTCACCAACACCCCTCATGCCATGTCAGGGAAGGCAATAAAAGTTCAGAAAAATCACGGCTGGGCTTTGTGCTTGACACCAAATTAATATATCACTGTTACACATAATGAGTTATTGGGACCCTCTCAAAGTTTAAGAGAGGAAAAAAAGTAAAAACCCACAGGAACCAGAAAAGATTACTTTAAAATTAAGATGCATGTGCTCTGGCTTTTCCTGCTGCCTCCAGCAAGTCATTTACATGATGTTGCCTAGGTAACTGTTGGCTTTGCTCATGCTATCTTGCATGGAAGGTGCCATGCATGAATGAATAATACCAAAACCAAAGACAGCCCTCTCTCATAAAATACACTCCAAATGATCGAATACAGGTGAAATAGAAATTGGTCAAATGTTTTCAAAAAGATAATGCATAAAGCTTTCAGCTTACAAAAGAGATGCTAAAGGAGTTTTTAAAAATGAGAGAGATTTTTCTTTAACTTTCCATAAGATTCACTCCAATATTCTGCCAATAGTGATTTCCAAAACATATCTGAGGTAAAATTTATTTTACCAGGCTCTAATGTTCAACTTTTCAAGAAGCTAGTTGCTGTTTCCTTTCATGCCTACCAGAAAAGTCTCCTAAGCGCATGACTTTCATGAAATAGGATGTTAAAGGAAAGGCTGGGGCATACTCAAAGTTCTTTGAGTCTTCTGTCAGTGTTCCACCCCTGAGAATTTGAAGCAAGCAAAAACTCATGCTGATAACATGTATATTTAACTCAAAAAGAAAAGTCTATGATGTTAGTGGGGAGTCAGTCTAATTTTCCATAACTTCCCTAAATATATAACCCCAAATAAAATCTGATATTCAGGACATTAAGGACATTATTCAGTATATTAAGGCCCTTACAGGACATTCAACCATAAAAGGCTGAACAGTGTTAATTATCCTACATTTACTATGTCTAGAAAGTGCATTTTGGGAATTTCACAAATGAGGCAACTAGGGTTTGTCCAAGGTCATAATTTGTAAATGGAAGAGCCAAGACTCAAACCCAAGTCTGTCTTATCCCTAGAGACCATATTTTAAGCAACTGGCCACAATGACCACCCTTGTCAGGAGAAGCCAAGAACAAACCCTTTCAGAAAAGTAAAACCTGAGACAGTTTAGAGTCCAAAGAGCTAGTACCTTTACAAAAACAACACACATAAGCACAGTTTACTGCCATTCATCAAGACAAAGAAATATTCAATCAACTTACAATAACTTTCAGGTTCCCCTTAACATCAAAAGATCTGATCACCCAGTTGACAAACTTTTTGCACTTCAAGATCAGGATGAGATTTTTGACCACTGTAGAATCCTCTGGAGAAGGTCTTATGTCAATTATTATATCCACCTGGAAATCACTGAAAATGGAAAACAAAGGCAAAGTTAGGACCTAAATGCCAGAGCATTGCAGCTATCTCCCCTCTTCCAAGTCTTCCTGTTTCTAGTGTCTGGCCAGTTGATTAAAAAGCTGGAGTCCATCCCAGGCAAATGACATGTGCAAAACAGATTGTTATTGCACACATAACAAAATGGTTTTACATAACAATAGAAATACATGCCTGCTGACAATTAGCTGCTCAAGTTTTTCTCTTCTTAGGGAAGAAAAAAGGTGGTTATTTAATGTAGCCACTGTTTGAAATGAACTTGAACAAGCCAGAATAGTTTATTTTTAAAGCAGAATTGTTGCTTTTTCAATCTATAACACTTTCATTGTGTGAGTCCAACTCGCTATATGCTCAGAGTCCTTCAAAACAAGAAACAAGAAGTGAGTGGCAGTTTGGTGAAAGGGCAGCTGGTGACAGGGAGGAGGGAGGCGGGGTGGTAAAATAATTAGGAAACTTCAGAATAAAACAAGAGGCAAAAGCTGAAGGTACTCAGGCTGAAGAATCTGACCTACATAAGGTCAATTAACAATTGTAAGAATCCTATCTGCACTTACTTTCTCAAACTTCTGGACATACTGTTATTAAAATAAAGCATACGGTCAACCAAGTGATTGCTAGAAAATTGATGAGTACAACCCAGTTTGGAAGAATTTAGTATAAAAGAGAATTTTTATTAAACAATAACAGCTCTGTCATTCTGAATTTAAGGAGAGAGTCTTTATGTCTATCTTGGTTTTACACACTTATAAAGCACAAAATGAATGGTATTCCCAATTAAGCCTTAGGCTTAATATGGCACAATTAATATGGCACATTTGCCAGATTATTTCTATTCCCATCCCTTCTGAATTTTCCACAAAATTCCTCATGTGAGACAGAATGGAATTTTACCAAAACTGACATGTAGTTTTTTTTTTTTCACTTTTGAAATAAAAACAATTATAATTTTAATTTAAAAATCCCTCTACAATATAACTTTAAATTATTAAGTGACTAGTCCCTATGAAATATAGGCTAAGGCGGAAGAAAAAACTTTTTCTTTTTCATTTTTAAAAAATTTCTGTAATTATTCTCAATTGGGAGGGTCACATTTCCAGTTCAAGGGTAGGAAACTGACGTGAAGAAAATGAAAAGGAGAGAGAGGCAAGTTGGATCTAATGTTCCTTGGTATGTCACCTGGAAGAGCTATTCCCCAACACACTCACACACTCCTGCACACAGAGCTTTAAAGCAAACAGATCTGCACGGGTAAGTGCTCTGAGGACACTATGAAGAGAACTTTATGCAAAACAGGACGTTACTAAAATGAATATTATGTTAATAAGTCATATTTTGTAATTTTCTCAAGATGGGTAAATGTCAGTCAGAGGGGATCATGATGGAGCAAGGGTAACTGTGTCCTTCAGAACAGGCTTCAGGAACTCTTCTTGTCTGCATGGCAACTACCGACAGATGCAAAAAAATAAACTGTCTCGATGTGCCTTATTTCCTCTTCATGGCTTCTGTGAGCTACAGGGCTCTTTCCCTACCTATGAATCAGGAAAGATTTTTACTTTCATCTCTTCTCCATTCAGAAAAAACACACACATCCTTGCTCACCTGTAAGGGTTAGAGTTGGGGGTGATTATCTCGATGATGTGTACTTCCTCATCCCGGGGCTGGCTGGACATCACACACCCTTCTGCAGCTTTGGGCTGAAGGTACCCAGCGAGGTAATTGAGTGAGAGAAAATTCTTCCCTATGTTGCATGTGGGAGGAAACACTTGATCTGAAAGTAAGAAGGCACAGGGTGACCTATCAAACAGAGCTGCATAGAACTAGGCTCAAAGGAAAGAGTCATGGTGAACCTGAGCAAGTCCTTGAGACAAGGGCCCACAAGCCTGAAGGAAGAGCTTTAGTCTATGACCCCCTCAGCCACTGCTCTGAAATGCTTCTCAAAGTTTACCAGTGACCCCCTCCTGACCACTTCTAGTGGCCTCTTTTTGTCTACATCCTTTCTGTTCTTCTTCTCCGTGTTAGTTCTTACCTTATCCATTTACTCTGATCTGTGTTTGGGTTTCTTTTACTAGAGCGGCCCACAACCTTTAGCACATGTCAAAATCTACTTGTTAGGACCCCAATCCAGATTAGGACTCCTTTTCTGAATTCTAGACTTGCCAGCTATCTACCAAGCCATCTCCCACCTAAAATCTCAATAGGTATTTCATGGTAGGCATACTCAGCATTGAATCCATTATCTACATTATCTCCAAATATACTTATCCCCAGGTATTTGCAATTTAAACTTATAGGAGAACCAGTCACCTAATTTTCTGGTCCACACATGTAACATTAGTCATTCCCTCACATTCATTCCTCACAGCACTTCATACTCTGAAGATTAAAGGTAAACTTTTGGGGAGAAACAGGGAGGGGAGACGTCTACTCCTCACATTCTTGACCCAGACAACTGCTGTTTACATGGCTCTACAGTTTTTAAGGTAGTTTCATAAATATCACTGTGCTAAGGGCTGCTCTCCACCTCCAGCAGGGAAAGAGATGAAAGTACCAAGAGTCTAAAGACACTCCCCAATGGCACATGCCATTTACACAGCACTGCAGTGGATGGGATTTCCATCCAGTGGTTTAAATGTTTAAACAGAACCTGAAGAAACTGCTGGCAGAATGACAGCTGGGACCAATGTCAAGGAAGTTCTAGGTGTTGCAAGCTTTTCAGAAAAGGTAACTAATCAGAGACCTGGCACTTTTATGAAACAGATTTCTGCATATTTCAAGAATGGATGCCACGGTTCACATCCTACTGGAAAGTCTTACCTGATGGTAAGGAATCAACTCAGGAAGTTCCAAGACTGGGTTAATACTGCTCCCCACCTGTGTAACTTCCCTTGCGCTAAAGTTTGCTGCACACACAGCCGCATCCCCAGCACCATTTCAGGAACTGAGCAGACCAGAGCAGTTCACAAGGGCCTGATTCTAGCCTCACAGCAAGACAGCACTGCCTCTGCACTCTGCTTTCTTTTCCAAAACACCCCTCAGAGAGAACAGGCTCCCCCCAACTGGAGCTGCTAGAGCATCCTTCCTTCACATGTGCTGAGGGTTTTGCCAGATGTGCAGATGAGGTAGGCACACCCTACAGCTGCAGCCCTGTGATGCCTCCCCCAGATCACAGGATGGAAAATGATACTGGGACAGAAGGGTTGAAATTTAATTGAGAATCAAGTGTGTTTATGGGCCAGAAAACTCAAGAGACTAGGACCCTCCCGGGACTGTGGCCTGTATTTCCAGTTCACAAGCATGCCTAGCTTGTCACTGGCATGCAACAGGCACACAGGATAGGTTTCCTGAATTCACAAATGATGTAAGATTTGAAGCAAGTGACAAAAAGTTCACCCATGTTGGAAAGCCACTAGAAAAGGTTTAATTGTTCAAAAGTTGCTGATATTAGGGGTTCCACTCCTAGATGCCATTTTCACAAAGTTCAATAAGCTAATCACTTTCTGTTGTGTGTGTAGGGTTTTTTCCCCCATAAATGACTTTCCACATGCTTGGCATCAAATCTTACATCAAGTGCCAAGTAGAAAGAAAACCACAATGGGGAATCCCCAGGGAGAAACATAAGAAGTCTGGGGTTGGGGAGGAAGGGTCACATGGCTTATTTGTATTTTAAGAAAGACCTACAAATGACTTTGAGACCCAGAATGATACACTCTGAGCAGGAATTAGCCTGAGAAGTAATGCAAATGCCTCACTTTTCTGCTGTGAAAACTGAGGCTCTGGAGGTAAATCATGTTGCTGAGGTCAACAGTTATGAAGACCAGTTAGGGTAAGAACTGACATTCTTTCACTCCACACAGACAGGTTAGAACAGTTCTCAAATGTGAGTAAGCACCACAATCACCTGGGGGGCTCTTGAGAACACCAACTGGTGGCCCCACCCCAGAGTTTCTAAAAAGGCATTTCTAACAAGTTCTCGGGCAATGCTGTTGCTGCTGCTGTTACTAGGGCAGGAGTTTGAGAACTAAGGTTTGAGCAAGAGGAGGTTCATGGCCGGCATGAGATGTGGGGATAAAAGGAGAAACTAGCCCATGGGGCTGGCTCAGTGGAGTCTGACTGAGGGTGATAGTCCATGACATTGTCTGTGACCCACCAACCTAAGCAAGGAGCCTCCAATTCCCCAGTGTACCTTTTCATGGCTTAACCCAGAGACTTAGACCTGACTGGTGGCTGGAGACAAATTCCAGGGGCCCCAAAGGAATTGCCAAGAAGTTAACCAGTTTTTGCTGGACTGGACACCAGGTCTTCTATGTTCACTTCCCTACCCACTGTGTAGCTTCACCACCTAAGTTATTTAGCCCCCTGCTTACAAGGCAGATGACTGCTGTTCCTAGAAATCCATGTACTATCAAAGAAACCGAGCCCAATAATTCTAAATATTGCTATAACAAATTTTCTTATTCTGACAAATTCCAAAGGGTAATCAACATTCTTTCATGCTACTAGAATTCTGCTTCAGAAATGCAGAGCATTGGCCAAGGATTAAATCTTTTATTAAAAAAGAGTTTTCATTTTGTTTCAATGGGGCTTGATCTGTTATTCACTACCTGACTACCATAATAGCCTAGCAACAAATTTAAATCTTCTGAACCCAGTTCTCACCTAAAACTCTTTCTCTCATGCCAATTAAACAAGTCTTTCCATCTAGCAGCCTACTTTCATTTTCAGGTTATGCTTACTTGGCTAAGACTCAAAGTATAGCATCAGAAAACAAGCATTAGGTTCAAGAAACTAGGGTTTGAGATCTACCTTTGCTACTTGCTAGTAACATGGATTTGAACAAATTTACTTAACCCTCTACTAAGTCCTCTATCTCCCTCCTGGGATTACTATGGGGTTAAGTGGGGTGCATGTGAAAGCCCTGATGTGGCCTCTATAAGCAGCACATACTCTAATGTCACTGTCCACCTTTGCAGTATCTGTTTCATATTCACTTTAAAACAGGCTTGATCCAAAAAAGACCTGGGATCAAACATACAGCAACCCTCCTTCCCTGCCATGGTATCTGCAGAGGAGGTGACAACTGCTATAGAATTCACCAGAGAACACTGGATGCTGAAAACCTGAAACATAGTGTACACAGTTACTTGACTATAAGAAAGACTTATTCACAAGAGTTATTTCCTAGTAACTTAGGGGGGTTCCAAATGTACTCAACTAAAAATATTGACGAAAAATGTTTTATGAAAAATTGGGTCATGGGCTATTTAAACCTCTTTGCAAGGCAAGGGAATTAAAATGGGCAATCTCTTATCAAGGCCATGTAGTTCATTTATCCAATAACTTGTTCTGTAACAGGCATTCATATTAAAATGTATTTAAACACTTTCCTTTGCTATTGCCAAAATTTAAATGCTGTCTCAACCATATACTAATACTGGTTTAAAATGTGTGTAGAATGACAGGTAGCAGAAAGCCCAATTTGTTGACTTATACTGCCAACTCCTTAATTTCATCATTATCATCTTTCCCACATTCTCCACTTCTCACTCTCCACTAACTTCTTCTGATGTCTGTACACAGATGTTTTCTAAATCCTGCACAACAACAGCTCCCACTCTCTGTCAAGTGCACTAATCCCCATTTCTCACTTGGTCATTACCAGGCCAATCTCCCCAGAAGGAAAAATAAAGAAGGGGAGGAGAAAGAGCAAGCCCAAATGATCCCTCACGTCCCTGCCAACTACAACATTCTGGAATCCTGTGATTCTTTCCTCTAATCACCTGACTACTTACCCCTGCTAGGCTAACAGAAAACTGCCTATCATAAATCAGTCATTAACTGAAACTACTTATAATTTACCTTCCCCCACTTTAATATAAATGTTTTTTGCTATCTTGAGTTCGGTAAATGAAGTAACTGCTCCATACTCCTTTTGGGCCCAATTTAACAGATGTTCATTTCCATGGGGGAGGTTCCTTTCTTCTGTTTTTGCTGTTAAGGAGAAGTTTCCTGATGAAAACTGGACCACAGAACCCTCAGACACCTAGAGGAAACAGAATGCATAGTTTAACATAGCTCAGACACCTAGAGCTGAATCACAGAGAAAGCACTTATCAAACCACTCATGAGTATTTGTCAGTAACAGATTTGTCTCTTCCTGCCATTACACAGGCAAGCCAGCTTTTTCAGCAACTGATCAAGAAACAGTCCCAAACGTAGTTCTCCTAGATAATGGCAAAATTCCCCTCAAATTTTCAAAGAACTTTGTGATGGGAGACTGACTTATGCGTTGTGAATAATCAGAATTATCATTACTATTTTCTATATATCTATATTAAAGCCCAACCTTTGGAGTACTATTAGCCCTCCAGTTACATGGACTCAATACGTATGGATTTAACCAACTACAGACTGAAGGCATTTGGGGAAAAATCTGCACCTGTACTGAAAATGTAGACTTTTTTCTTGTCATTTCCTGAACAGTATAGTATAACTATTTACACAGCATTTACACTGAGTTAGATATTATAAGTAATCCAGAGATGATTTAAAGTACACAGGAAGGTGTACTTAGGTTTATACACAAATACTATGCCATTTTATATAAGGGCCTTGAGCATCTGTGGATTTTGGTATTGGGAAATTGTCCTGGAACCAATCCTCCATGGGTACCAAAGGTTGACTGTCATGTATTGCAAATCAACTGGGAAGCACTGGTGGGTGTTCTCTTGGGCTTTTAATGGGCTTCAGAATCAGAGTGAGCGATCTTCCACAGCTGCCGCAACTGCTGACAGAGTCACCACGACAGAGACCCAGCAAGAGTCCTTTCAAGTTCTTCTGAGTACTGAGATAAAAAGAATGGCTAAAGGTTGCCAATCTTCTACTACATTCCTCTATTTCATAGCAGTGAGACGAACGTGTTTAAGTTTATTTTGTAAGACTCCCAAATTCTCACAGATAATGAAGAGACTATTAAACTGACCCTGATAAAACTTGGAGGATGATGTACACAAGTATATACCACATTACTGTTACATGTATTTATAGCAGTGCTGACTGAACATATCATGGTGTATAAATAACACCTATAAAGAAGGAAAATCATCTCATTGCTGTGCTATAATCAAACTTAGTTGTTGTGAAAATATGCATGCCACTAGCTAGTATTTATAAAATAAATGACCTTAACAATATCAAGTTGAAAACTCAAAATGTGGGCAAAAAGGTTAGTAAGTAGTTATATATATTATAAATGCCTTACAGTAAATTTCATATTAACTATTTATTCATAACAAAAAACAAGTTTCTGATGGGGTTATAATAGCCAGACCAAAATAGCAAGTTGAGGGAAGAGATTTTACTAATGGTTCTAGCACTCACAGCAGCATTTCCAACCTTAACATGTGTACAAAATAGTACTTACCCTGGTATTGTGCTGAGTTAACACTCAATTGAATTATATATACACATATACTTCTTAAAATGCTGGCAAATGATTCCTTCGCTGAATTGATCCCATGATATTCTAATAACTGAAAAGTGGAATCACCTGAAGAGCTTCTAAATATCCTGCTGTGCAGGGCACATCCCAGACCAGTTAGAACCTTTAGAGTGAGGCTCAGGAATCAGAATTTTTTAAAGCTCTCTGGATGATTCCAATGTTCAGCCTCATTTGAAAATGCCTCCCTTAATGAATATGGTGTGATCCACAATGTGAAAGGCACTGCTGTAGCCCAGGCCCAGTGCAGGGCCCCTTGAAGCTGCCTGGTTTTTAATACCTAATGATAAATTTTTTGGAACACTCATAACAGTGGAACATAATGAAATATGTTCTCTTCGAATTCTTCCCCCTTGAACTTTTCCAGGTAATATATACAAATTTCATGCAAAAATTAAAAACATTTTAATCTTCACCATAAATGGTTTAACCAAAGGTAATTTTGTCCTCCAGGAGACATATGGCAATGTCTAAAAGTATTTTTAAGATTATCATAAAAGGAATGAGGTGCGAATGAGGTGCCATTGGCATCTATAGATTAGAAGAGATGTAGGTAAACATCCTACAATGCACAGGCCACACACACACACACACACACACACACCCCCCAAAGAATTATACAAAATGTCAACAATGCAGAGAGTAAGAAATCCTGCTCTATGTTTTGGCAGCTCATACTAGGGAGGCGGGTCCCTAAATTGACCAAGTATTATTACTCAAACATCTGCTGGATTTCAAGACTAAATCCCCAAAAAGCAAGCATGCTGGTTAGTACTTTGAAAAGGAGAAGAAAGCCTTTCTTGTTTTCTTGGGAAGCTCAGAACTAGGTATCTATAATCTGAGTATCACCTATTCAGCAACAGTTACCATTTACTGTAAACCTACCATGTATTAGGGACTGCAAGGTGCTACCAAATGTGCTAATAACAATTTCTAAGTGCTCTGGTGCCAGTTATAAGCAAACCAGTATGGAGTGTTTAGCTTTGATGTCACCTGAACATGAAAAAGCTTGCAAGCCATCCTCCCACATAAGATTAACTGCCCACCTACATGTAACGTAGTATACTCTAAAGTGCAGCTATTCACCAGCCCTGAGCCTCAAACCATGTTTACCTGTTCTTCTAACCTTAGCCTGGTTGTAAAAATCTTTTCACTGAAAAACATTTGTACTAAAAAGGCATGTTTTTGTATTAAATTCTTTTATTGGTACATTGTAGGTACACAACACAATTACATTTCTCATTGGGAATCGTACCTTTACATAACGCACCTTGGTTCTTATTTTTCCCCATTCCTAGCCCTCCCTTCACCCCCTCCACCCTTCCCTATTTACAAAGACTTTATTTCCATTTTTTCCATTTCTCATCATTTTTTC